TCTTTGGCAGTGAACGGTTGGATGCTGTGCTCAGCATCACCGCCACGGCTGGCGGTGCACCCTCAGTTATCCTAACCTCAGTTATCATATGTTCCTAACCGAGCACTTCGCTCTCAGACCGCAGGTCTACTGGTGGTTCCAAGAATATCTAAAATTAGGATGGGAGGCAGATCTTTTAGTTATCAGGCTCCTCTCCTGTGGAACCAGCTCCCAGCCTTAGTCCGTGAGGCAGACACTTTGTCTACTTTTAAGAATAGGCTTAAAACATTTTTATTTGATAGGGCCTATGGTTAAAATCTGATGTTAGCCTAAATCTGGACAAGTGGGGGAGTAGAGGGAGGTGGAGTGTACAGTCGGTAAAGACGGCTCTCCCTTGCCCTGCCTCCATCTGCCTACATCTAAATAGGATAGATTATCCAGAGTTATCTCTGTAGTTATGCTGCTATAGGCTTAGACTGCTGGAGGATACACTGACCACTTCTCACACTCTACTGCTTTCTTCTACAGTCTGCTCTTTAACTGTACTATTTTGTCCAATTTCAGCTGTTAACTTTATTTTCTCTGTAAGTGTTTTTCTCCCCAGAAGATGTGACAATGACGTTCTGCTGAGCTGTGGTGGCCTCATGGAGGAGGCCATCGACTGGCGCACTGCTGCTGACCACTTGAGCATTCTCTCTCTCCTGATGGTGACTTTTTGGTTTCCTTGACTTTTGATGTGCTGGTGCTGGTTTGCCCGTTTGATTGTGGATCCACTGGGATGAATGCAGTGGGGTTTGTCTTTCACCAAATGGAGTGTTTGCTAAGACATCACAATGTAACTGTAGACACATTACTTGTCCGTGTGTGTGTGTGTGTGTGTGTGTGTGTGTGTGTGTGTGTGTGTGTGTGTGTGTGTGTGTGTGTGTGTGTGTGTGTGTGTGTGTGTGTGTGTGTGTGTGTGTGTCTGCTCTGTCTTCTCGATCCCCAGTGAGTCGTGGAGGATGGCTGCTTATACTGAGCCAGGATTCTCTGGACGTTTCTTCCTGTTAAAAGGGAGTTTTCCTCTCCACTGTCGCTTTATGCTTGCTTAGTATGAGGATTGCTGTATAGTCACTGACACTAGTCAGTGACTTGATGCAATTTGCTGGGTTCCTTATATAGGAAAAATTATTTCTGATTGGCTTAATGAACTGACCTGAATTGGAATTCTTATTATGTGAAGTGCCTTGAGACGACTCTTGTCGTGATTTGGCACTTTATAAATAAACTTGAATTGAATTCAAAATGACGACTTTAGTCGTCTTTGGCAGTGAACGGTTGGATTCAAAATGACGACTTTAGTTGTCAATGGTAGTGAATGAGTAAAAAAAAATCATTGGGAAAAATCCTCTTAAGCCAGACAAACAAACTAGTACATCTGACTGGTGACTGACCACACAATGTTAGAAAAGGTGGAGAGTAAACCATACCTTGCTCTGTCTTTGTTCTTAAAAGGAACCCAGCTTACAAAACCTTGTGGTTCTTAAAAGATAAATGTTAGTATCAGTTATAATAAAATGGTGTAAAAAACCTTCTTAATGTCTTCCTTTTTATAAAATTTGTCAAAATAATTTAACTCGTAGGTCACCATTGTTGTTAGTGTCACACTGCACTCTGGGCAGTGATGTCATATGGTTGTACCTCGGTTGCACCGGCCCGCTTTCGGACCCTGTAGTGACTTAAGCGACATCAACATGTCATCTGTTCAGCCTTTTCAAATTGAACCAGAGCAAAACATTAATGAGGACATCACTGACCATGTTTCACAAAACGAGCGTCAAAATGAAGAGCAAGAAGGGCGGGATGAAGCGAGTGCAGGACAAAACCGGTGGTGCGTGTGCGACAAATGTGTCTCCATGGTAACCTAGAGGGATAGTGTTTGTTGTCAAGAGCTCACATTTTTGTCAGCAGAAGTTAACGGTAAGCTATCGTGTGATCAAACTTATTCAATAATGAATGATTTCGGAGAATTTTAGCATCCAGAGCTGTCGTGTGCTTTATAGATGATTAAGATATTCAGTGAAACGACTTTAATCATTTTTGCAGATATTGTATATCTGGAGAACACTACTGCTACACTTACTTCTTGTTTTACTGATGGGAGAGGTGAGTGTTCAGCTTCATCCGTGACAAGTGGCATGTCCGATGGTTCGCTGAACGTAACAGAAGCGGCAGCTGCAGGAGCGGGTTGTCGGCTCAGGAAAGCGTCCAGCGTCTCTTCTCTCTCCGAGGGCGTTTAGGCTACTTGTGTGGGAAAATGGTCGGTAAAGCATTTAGTTTCCGCCTTTTCTTATACCCAGCCACTCTGGTGAGCTCTTTAAGTAGTTGTGGTCGACTATAAGCCTCAAACGCATCAGGAGAAAAATGTTGGGAACACAAGTCGCGGATCTTTGGCAAGTTGTGTCCGTCCACAGGCATCTTCCCACTGCTTTCTCCTCTTCTTGCCAGTGGGAAAGCTGTGTAAACTCACATCACTCCCCTTATTGCCCTCTGACTGGAAATTACATCCAAAAGCAGCACAATGCGGCATTTTACTTCATTATTATTACGGTGAGCGCGTAAGCAAACACTAGCATCAATAGCTATTCTTCCAATCGCAACCAATATATGTCATCGCCCCAGAGTGCATTGCGTGCGGAAAACATAGCGTCCTACGTATGTCAAAAAATGTACTAAATATTATAGATTGATAAATAAACAGCAATATGTTGTGTGTTTCTAACGACATAATTGGGTACAACAGAGAATGTGTGGCTTATTAGGGCATACACGTCCTCATAGCTGTAGTTCTATTTAAGTTGCCTTATCTGTAGAATGATTGTTATTTAAAAGTTTCACTATGTTAAATCAGAAAAAAGATAATTAAACCTAAAACGTTTTTTCTTTTAAACTAGACTGTAAAGACATTTATTTCTGCAGTGAAGTTGTGTTTTTAACATGGAGACAATGGAAAAGTGCACCTTTCTAGAGCCAGCCCCTGCTGGTGCAGAGGGGAACAGCAGTTTATTCACTTCTATGTCTGTTTCACTTTTGGAAGGTGGCGTTTGCCCCTCGGCCATAAACAATAAATACATACATTTCACTGTATAAGAGAGTTGTTGGTAATGAGAGGCATATATGTCTTTCTAATTCACTTTCAGCATTTTTAGCTCAATGCTAGCCTTTATCTTTCCTCACCCAATATTTCAGTAAAACAAAAAGATGCTCCGGTTTTGTAGGGGTACAAGAAACAACTTCCAGGAAGCTTTTTTTAACGGTTTCTGTTCTTTTCACTACACTGCTGCTTATTTTTTTAGATATTACAAATGCCAGTGTGGCCATGTTTGTTGGCGCAGACTTGGCAACTGCGGGCTCAGATATAGCTGGCTCTGGAACCAGGTAATATGAAGATGGGACCGATTGTAAACAAAATCTATGTCCCTCTTTTGCCTTTTTAAAAAGAGAAAACCTGGCCTCCAGCTGGCTGAAAATGAAATATATTTCAATGTAACCATCCTTCCAACATGACTGAGACATTAGAATATTTTGTGAATTGTTTCACTGTAAAATTCTTACTTATTGTACCTTTAATTTACAATCTTCATTTCATTAAAAATTTAGTTTGCTGCGTTTTTAAATGAAGCCATGTTGTAGTTTGGTGAAACAGAACAATAAACTTGTAGTCCATCTTGTTGAACCAAATAGCTTCATATTTTACTAACTATGTTGAGTAAATCACGACTCACCCTTTGGTTAAAATGGCAAAAGGAATTTAACAAGCAAGACATTGTTAAAAGAAACTCCTCATTACAAAGACCACAGCACAATCAAAACAGTAAAACTAACCATGAGAAACTTTAATGATGGTCACCAAAAAAACCAGTAACCATTATCTTCCCTGGCTCATGTATTCATACCAAACCCTCATGTACAGACGTCAGGGGGTGAGTAATACATTAGTCACAGGCAGCCAATCAGCTCTTATCTGAAGGGTGAGCACATTTATTTTATCGCTACTGGCTAACTGTCGACGCAGAAAACGAGTAAGGACTACTCTCATCTAAACACTCTACCACATAGCAACGCCTGGTTTGCCATGTTGGCACATTCAAAGCAGCTAAGTGGAAAAAATGCAATCTGATGATTTGTGGCACTCAGTGAGACAGTCAGGGGTGGATGTATGGAAGGCCAAAAGGGTCATACATCCACAAAAATCACAAATGAAGTATATAGGAGAGTTTGCTATAAAACACCTCCTGGTAATTAATACATGTGGTTAAAACACGTTATAAACACTTTATATACCCCACCTTTTTTCTTAAATTTTTCTTCAATAGGTTTGATTTAAAATTTTCCAAGCCACAGTAAACAATTATAAAAAATCTAAATCACTTTGCTTTCTTTCCCATGGAATAATCAGTGCAATGATAAAAAAGCAGTCTGTTGCTCTTTTCTCCATAATACAGACATTATATAAAAACTATAGAAACTATTCATTACAACTGGAATTTGATTGTGATGCCAACACATGAGTGGGTTGAGTTAGTCCGGAGGCATTTATAGTTTGAGTGTGTATAAATCTCTCATTGCTATTTGTTTTAAATAGCAATGAGAGATTTATGGAGCGCATTGAGTTCAATAAAGCCTTGTTGTTGTTTTTGCTTTGCTGTTGCCGTACACAGCACTGGGTTATAATGCACTTCTCTGCCCACTCTTCCTCAGTCTAAGGTGTTGCAGAAGGCCAAACTGAGGCCATTAATGATTTACATTTTCACCTAAACACAGCATAATTTAATGTATTTATTTTTTCAAAATAAGTCTGTGACCTGCAAAAACCCACATTGATTGTGGTTTCGTTATGAAAACTATTGACAGATTTGTGCGTAATGTGGAATAAAAGTTTGAAAGTTTTTTTTTATTATTATTTTAATGAATTCTGATCTTTTCATGCAGTTTTTAAAATCCACCCACAACTCCCAATGACAGACAAGTGCAAATAAACACAAAATCAAACATCAGTTTTATTCTCCAAATATACAGCAAAAGCATCATAGAGTCACAGACCAGTACAGTTAAAATACAACCGCTTTTTTTTTCTTTTTTTTTTCCATAGTTACAGATGGCCACTGCCCAAAAATGGTTGTTTACCCAAAAGCATTTACACACCGTCTTCTTGTTACAAGTACTGCATGTTTATGGTTACTATTTATATAGGTCTTGAAATTACTATTTGAGAGCGTACATTGTTGGAGTTGTTTAGGGTTTTAAACTTTTTTACGTCATTTGGAACGCAGAACCCTAACCCTAACTCAACCAATCACAGGGAACTGTTCTCATTTGAGTTTCAGAGGCTTTTTCTGTGGTGCTCTTACTTCTGGTGGGATGCAGACCCCAAACCCTGAATATCAATGTGCCCTGAAGGCTGAAAGCAAAATCTGAGGATTAGTGGCAAATGCTTCTTAGTCCAGGCCTTATACTTGTATGTTATTACAGTACTAACAAGGTATTGATTGGATGGAGAAGGGAGGAAAGTGAGAGTGGAACAGAAAGGATTTACACGGTTAAGAAAGCCTTTTTATGATCAATCCAGTGTTTGAAATGGCACCTGCGCCTAATGTGTTCCATCATGAACATTAACACCTCACACACAGACCAAGAGCATGATAATTCACACGTTACACTCGGTTTGTTTAGTGTTCCTTTGTGTGTTTTTTCCAGTTTATTCAAACCAAGAAAAAAGAAGTGGTACAGTACACAAAGCAATAATGGATAATGAACATATTTCAACCCAAATAGTAATGATCACCTTGCACTGCTTATAGGTTTTGTCTTTCACCTCACAAATGTCCTCAGCATCCTGCTCGCGAAGGGTTTGTGTTATCACGAAGAGAGCAGCGACCTCTTGTAATTGCTCTGGGTCTCGGTGTTTAATCATCTGTTATGCCCTGGCATCTGTGCATTGCCTTGTAGCCAGGCAAACAAGCCGCGCCGACACCAGCAGGCGAGCCGTCCACAGGTGAGCAGGACGCACTCTGTCCCCACACATGGGCTTGCACTCCCAAGTCCTGACATGGCACGCACATTCTGTAGTACCCTCATGCCCGCTGTAACTTGTTGTTATTGGGAGTGGGTGGGTGAACGCGACAGAAGGTTGGCTCATCAAATATTTATGTTTGTTGTGCAGCGTGCAGATTCTTTGGACTGGGAACATGAATTGTGTTTGGATGAGCGCAGAATATGCAGCCGGTAGAGAAACGGGAGGACTTTTGGACACTCTGCTCAAGTCTGGCTGGGATTTGTACTTTTGTAAGAGTTCGTATTTTGGTAGAGGTGGAGCTAAGTTATTGTTTTGCACGTCACAAGTACATATCAAGTCTGTCCACTGCTGTAGAGTCTAAAACCTGGGAATATCCAGTCCGATACAAGTCATTATACCTTGTGTATTATTTTGTTTAACATTGTTAAATAATTTCAAGAAAATATGAAATTATGAAAGCTCGCCAAAAGACAGAACAAGCAGCAAGTGCATCTGAACTTGATCAGGAAAAATAGGAGTGCTGATGTATTCAAAACCTGACTAACTACCCAACTGCATGTAGTTTTATTTTTGGTCCAAATATAATTAAAATGTGTGAGTAGGCCCATTTCCACTAACAAAACAAATCCCCATGTCTTCTATTGCCATTACTGATATTTCAAACAATTCAAAAATCACTTGAACAAGATAATAATTAACTTTTTGTATGAAAAACCGACTTTTTCATGACTGGAGGAACTCTAGCTGCTGCATGCCAGCGGTGTCAGCAGCTATACTCTCTCATCATCACAATTTGTTTATGCCATGTGTCACTCGCCGTTTTAATCAAATCATTTGTGTAAATTGGCTGGAAATTAGTACAGGTAGCAATTAAAAACTGACGGTTTATTAGGTACACCGACTTAATTGCTTGTTAACACAAATAGCTAAACACCTTTGCCAACAGTTCAGTGTATTTAAGTGTGAAGACCTGGTGAAAAGGACCTCCTAAGGCTCAAACTGAGCATCAGAATGAGAATAAGAGTGGATTTAAGTGACTAAAATGTGAAATGGTTATTGATACCAGGCAGACTGGTTTGATACCCAGGGATTTTCACCCACAGCCAATTGTAGGGGTCCATGAGAAATAGTCTTGATGAGATACACATTCAGTGAGCAGAAGTCAGAAGACAATGGGCAGACAGGTTCAAGATCCAGGGAAAGCAACGGTAGCTCCTTTAACTCCCTCACCAGGAAAAAACATATTTTTATGTGGGTCAATAAGAGCTTTAGTTTAATGTAAATTAATTATATTAATAATATACTAATTGCAATAATATTAAGGTAATAATAATTCAATGTATTAATGTTATACCTTTTTCTAAAAGAACACCATATTCTTTAGAAATTTCTAGTTTTACTTTTTTTTTTCTTGTCAACTTCATTTCATGTTTTAATGTGATGCAGAGACTTCAGAAATGCTCTACCAACTGGTTGGGCAGACAGGCAAAGGGCTCTTTACAACCAAAGGATAAAGACTATCTTCTCTAAACACACAAACATGGAAGTGTAAAGCAGATGGACTACAGGTGTCCCTCCTGTCAGCTAACCAGGGAACTCTGTCATGTTCAACAACCTTTGGGATGCACTGGAACAACAGATACACATCATGGATGTGCCAAAACTGTGTGGTCAGTTTGGATCAAAAATCTCCGAGGAATGTTTCCAGCACCTTGAGGAATCAATGACATAAAGAACTGAAACTGTTCTGAAAATAAAGGTGAGGGAATGGTTGGTTCTCATAAGGTGTACCTCAGGGGTGTCCAAACCTTTGAAGACGAGAAGCACAAATCCTCAAGTTGACAGTCCTTTTGGGCAGCAAAAATGGGCTTTCTTTTCAGAAAATGCAAAATAACTGAATGATTTTTTTATTTGTACAAATCAAAATAGTTTGAAAAAAAGTATATTAGTAAAAGTCTACATGTTAGCAAGGTCAGATTAACACTTTGTTGTACCCTGGGCAACAATATTCAAGGGCACCACCATCATCACGACCCAAGGATCACCATAATATGGTCACATACAGAATATTTTACTGTAATATTCAGTAAATATACTCAATATTTGAATGCCTGATGTCATGTAACCCGCTCAGGGTAACCTTTGACCCACCTCATGTGGACTGACCAATGAGGAGAGGGTCTTAACTTGAGGCCCTCTCTTCATTGGTCAGTCTGCATAAGACTGACTCTCAACTGACGTTCAAAGTCATAGGCAGCGAAGCGTCTCTGTGCAGCGCAAAAGCCCGGGTGGACAGTTTGTTTAATATAGGGTGATCATATTTCCATTTCCAAAAAAGAGGACAGGGGATCTGTGCGATTCTGTGGATTTGTGATTCTGTTTTTCCTTGGCCCCAAAAATTCCTTGAAACGGCCCTGTGTGTGTGACAGAGTGTTGAAGGTGATCTGAATTGTATCAGATGTATAAATATTACACGTGTATAAATTATTGCTTTATACAGGTAAAAACGTGTAGTGGAGATAAATCTACCTACATTTTACTTTTCAACACTTTGTTTTGTTTTCTTGTTTTTATTTAACTTTTTCCTGTCCTGTCTGTCTCTCATCTTTATGCATCTTCTCTAAACTCTCCAGAAAATCTGCTGCCTGGACTCATACTTTTTCACCTCATCAGTTACTTTTGAGCAGATCAAAGGGATCTCCTGACCGCAAAGCGGAGTGCGCGTTTCGATGCGTCAGTGAGGTGAAATCACCGCAGCAGGTGATGAGCTCCACAGTGGCAGAGCGCTTCAGGCACAAATAAGACAGAAAGTAGAGAACATGTGCGGACATGAATGATTGTGTGTTAATTATAGTTTTTTGATTGTGCCACTTTGAGAATGGACCGTGCGCTGGACGCAGCTGCCTGGAGCGCACCAACGAACAGCGCTCTGCCGCCCTCTGTGCTCTCTGCTTAAAAGAGTCCATGAATTATGTAAAATAAGTAGAAAACTTTTTTCCGGCTCTCCCTGGATGTGTAGGATATCCAGCTCCCCCATAATTCGATCCCTGCTCCTGGATGAAAAACCGGACATTTTCATCAATTTAAGAACCCCCCTGGATGCCCGACAGTGTGACAAGTGGACATGTCCGAGGAAAAGAGGATGAATGGTCACACTAGTTTAATATAAAGCGGGAGATTACAGATACAGTATTTTGCTCGTGCTGCGCCTGGCCCTTTAGAGTTTGTGGAACCCCTGGGCAATTGCCCAGTTGCCTATATGCTTAATCCGGCCTTGCATGTTAGGATGTTTGAAAGTGTCACTGCACACCAACATCATTCTAGGGCTGGACAAAATCACTCCAAGGGCCGCAAATGGCTTTTGGACCAAACTTTGGACATACCTGGTGTAGTGGACATACCTGGTGTACCTAATAAAGTGGCTATTGACTGGGTTAATGACATAGCTTGAGACATATTTTGGAAAAGACTAAATATTTTCAAAGGAAAAAGCTCAAGTCATGTGTCCAAGTCGAGTTTTAAGTCCCTTATAATGTATTGAGTCATTAAAAACACGATTCAAATTTAAATTCAACCTCATTAATGTTTCCAGAGTCTCTACCTCTGCATAATATCTATATATATATATAAGTATGTGAGTCTGTGTGTGTGTATGCGCACAAACATTTTGAGATGACTGGTGAAATGTTGTCGAATGTATCCAAATGATGTTATATGAACAAAAAGTTAAAATCTTTGCATTCATTGATTTAGAAAAAAATGATAGTAAATATGGCGGACATATTTGACAGTCATCATGTTGCCTAAATGTAATATACTGCTGAGCAGCTAGGCATCTCATTGAAGGCCGACAGTGTAATAACCTCTTAATGCATCTTCCTTCAGAGTTGTCGCACCTAAGCTCACTCTGCAGTCTTCTTCCTGTGTGTGTGTGTGTGTGTGTGTGTGTGTGTGTTTAGTTTACAGGGCGTCGGTTTCCCAAATGAGAACTCGCAGAAGAGAAAACGGCTCACGCAAGCCATCCTTGTAATTTGCCACAAACAAGCAAGGTTGATGAAAATTTTTGGAAAGACAACAAAGAGAAAATTGTCTGTCCGAGCAGTTTTGATGCCATATGTTTGTTGAGCTCCAATGTACCGCTGTGAAATGTGAATGGGGAAGGAAAAGGAGAAAGAAAAGAAAAACAGGAAAAATTATATACAGAGAAAGACAGCATTAGAGATTTATATACAGTCTGCTAAGTGCCAAGCTGGATTATCAGCATTGAAACAGAGCTTTTTGTCTTAAGCTGTACAATGGGCACCAATCCATTTGTAAAATTAGTCCAACACACATCCACTCAAGTGGAAACCCATATTCAAATGATTTGAATATAATCGTATGTAAAGTGCTTACAACAACTTGCTTTCCTTCAAAATCTGTGCTTGGTGTTTGTTGAACTGTAAGGGCAGTTTTCATAGTTTCAGATTCCCACAGGATCATCCGGGTGCATGGGCTGCTGCACTATGAGCTGAAAAAAAAACCTACTTAAATGAGATGTTTGTAACCGTTTATCCTCAGTAGTACATTTGTTGGTTTAATTTAGCAGATCAAAGTGAAACCGACACGTGGAGAAGAATTTCTTGGACCAGGAACCTTTTCTTTCATTTTTACAACCCAGAAAATCCAAACTGGTCTGTTTCTGTAAAGGTCCACAGACACACGACACTTTTAAAAGCCTGAACACGATATGATGTAAGTGTTTCCACTTTCAAAGTCTGCGCGAACACAGCACTTATCATTTTTTATGACTGTGTTGGATAAAAACAAAAACAAGTATTTAAACCTAACAGAAAAAGGAAATAATTATGCATTTGATTGCTTCTTAGCAGTAAATCTTATCATTGAAAAGCCTGATTAGTCACCTTTGTGAGAGGTGCAACTTGAAGGATCATGCGTCCAGGATATGACCAACACAGCTAACCGAATGTAACTAGCACTCCTAGAAAAATGTGCTAAAATATCTTGCAATGTTAGTCTTCACTCTTGTGTTTGAGCTTTGAGTGCTGCTGTGAGCCAGCCACAGATGTATGACCAGTTCCTGACAACTATCACCTTAGAAGACCTTTGACAAATCCTGGTTGAGGAGTGGGGGGACCAAACTGGTTACCTGGGGAATTCTGCAGGGGCAACTAATCAGATTTTCAAACATTATATTATTTATTGCCAAGAATAATTCTTATAGTGCAGCGTTTGATTCTGCACACCAGCTTTAGACTGTCTGTTCTACATGAATCTGAATTCAAAGCATTTGGTGCCGCAGAGCTCTCAGGTCATCACCTCGCTTTCTGTCACAAAGCATTCACAGGAGAAAGGTGATGATTGAGTCAACAACCTGACTTCACATTTTCATTTAAGTAGGGTGTTTGATTGCATGTCTGCAAGCAATTTCACTACTTTAATTCTCTGCCTTCTACTAAAATAAACCCAGTGTAAGCCGTGAAACGCTAAATCAAGTTTCATATGTGTCACATACAGGAGGATAAAGTAAGAATTCTGAAAAGTATTAGCTTTCTGCTATCGGCTTCATGGGAGCCAGAAATTACAAGAAGAAAAAAAAAAGAGTAAAATAAATCACTTTCCCAATTTTGTCCTGTTTGATGATGATTATGATCACAATTACAGTCAGGATGCACTAAGTTCCAGTGTCAACAGTGATACTGACAATAGCAATGAGATATTCACATGATGATCAGAAAAGATGATGTTTTATTCAATAGGTATTAATTGTTATTGATCATCTGTGTAGGAGTCAGAATTTGCGGGGCTTTCTTGCTGCTCATGCCTCGGAGCTGGGTTTGGTGTGGTAACACCACGGTGGATGATGCTCCTCACATCAGCAGAAGAGCTGTTTGTCTATCTCAGTTAAAGTTTGTATTGACCCAGTTCAGAGAGAACCTCAAGGCAAAGTAGATATGGACATGAAGAGGCGCTCGTGTATAATTTAGAGTAATCCATGTGGAAAATCAGAGTCCAAAAATTAGACGCTAGAAAAGAAATCACAGTCATATATGTACACTGATATTCCTTTATCGTGGAGTGTCAAAGCAAAACAATGAGTCTGGGATTTAAAATGAGATCTCAGCTCCTCTTTATCTGCTCGGTGCTGTGGCTCCGATAAAGCAATGAAGAGGGAGAGACGGGAAAAAGGACAAACAGAAAAACAGCCGTTCTTTTCGATGTTTGAGTTTTCTTCCACCTACACAGGAGACTAGGTTTCAACAAGCTGAGCTTAACACACAGTGCTTGAAGAGGGAGGTGGGGGTGTTGGAAAGTTATCGCTTTTAACAACGAGATAATCACATGCACATTCGTTGTGCTTCGAGACTACAAGGGGAGCAGCAGGACACCGGCTTGCACTCATTATCAGACAGTTTGTGCTGAGTGCTTCACCCCAGTCTTGCTTTTTTCCCCCTGAATGACAATCTTCAAGAAGCAAACTTGGTCCGTGCCAGGGGAGATGATTGTCATTCAAAGCCTCGTGTTCCTGCCATCTGATCCAGGAACAATTTGATTGTGGAAACCAAGTGATTAAAGTTCAAATTTCAAACTTGTGTAGTGTCCTTGTTGGCAAATAAGCTCTCTGTGGCACGTTCGTATGATGGGTAGAAAAAAAGAGGGAGTTGATGAAGCACGCATGAAGGAAATATAAGGCTTTTTGATTCTTTTTTTTTTTGGGACATTGAGAAGTTTAAGCAAGTTACATGGTGCATCAAGCTCAGTAGTCCCAGCCTCTTAAGGCATCCATACTTTGTAACACGGATACTCCAGGGCTTCCTGTTGGCTGATTCCTTAAAAAGTTTTACAATCCTGGTTGCTCGTCACTCCCCTTCCAAACTCCCTCCCTCCCTAGACATCAGACATGGGTCTGCATACGCTTCTGGAGGGGCCGGGTGAGGTCTGAGTTCTGCGAGGATGATTGGGAATAGTGGGATGAGGAAGAGGCTGATGCCTTGCTGTCTTTGTCAAACTGCACGTAGCCGTCCGGCTTACTGTAGCTGCTGATGCTGCTGTCACACTGCGTGTCGATGAACGAACTGGAGTCGCTTATCGAGCCACGCTGGAACTCCCGCTCACAGAGCTCGATGGAACTGCTGCCCATGCCCAGCACGAAGCGTTGGCCGTAGTCGTACAGTCGGTTGGGACCTGCTCCCAGGGTGGAATAGATGTTGGTAAAAGACATGCCTGTTGGTACCCGCTGCTTGCCGAGGGTACCTGTGTTGGTGGGATTCCGCACCTCAGTGGTCTGGTTCCCTGCCGTGGGTGTGTGGTGCTCTTTGAAGGTGTTAACGCTGTAATAGCCATTTGTAGGGTCCTGTTGAAGAAGCACCAAATTCCAACATTAGATATATAAACATTTTCTACACCACCTTCAACCAGCGTTCATTGGATAACACAAAGACAACCCTCTGCACACACTCAGACCAAGGGCTAATTTGGAGTCACAAATGAGCCCTTGGTGACACAGGTGTCACAGCCCATCTCAAGCTTCTGCAAAATTGCTACTTCAGTCATATATTCAAGTTTGATATCCCCACGTTTATAATATGTATGATATCCATACATTTATAATTATTTAGTTCATTTATTCTCTAAGGGTTTGGGTTCTTAAGGGTTAAAACAAAATCACTTTTTTTAATTTAAACATTAATTGTTTAGTTTATAGTATAAAATACATAATAAAATCTTTTTTTTGGGGGGGTGAGTTATTATTATTTTTTTAAAACAGTATTTTTTTTTATGCTGGTGACAACTTCCAACTCTACAAGTTTAGTCTTCAAATATTTAGACTATTGATCTAAAATGGCTGTCAAGCCACACGAGAAAAAAAAAGATTTATCAAGAAATAAGAAATAATAATTATTTGATACATTAAACAAGTCATTATGAAGTTTTTGGGGCCTAGCACAGACCCCTGAGGGGCTCCAATGGTTAACCTAACATGCAAGTTTATGAACTGGGAGAGAAAATGACACCTTCAGAGTTAAAACGAGCAAACTCAATCATCACCCCACCAGGGTGACAACTTCCAACTTCCATCCTTCTTTCTGCAGGGCAAATCCTAACCAACTCGATCACTGTTGTAACAAACTATCAGGCTGCATTAAAGATTTCCTTCCAAGATTATAATTAAGGCCAATTCAAAAAGGACAAAGATTCCAGAATAAAGAAAGTGCTTCTGAAAATTCTTTTTAAAGTTAAGACAGGGCAGGAGATGAAGCGACACTGGCTGTAATTACCATTCAACCTGTTGAACAAATAAAGTAACAGCCTACTGCGTTTGTCACAAAGGAAACACAAAGGTCTTGTGAGCCCCTACTCTAACCTTTTCTAATTAAGCAGCCCTTGATGATTCATAGTTTTGCATCCACGTGTCACTGCATAGTTCACTTGTATCCCAGCTTTAATTAGACCCCTATGGTCTGTAGAGTCCTCACTTCCACGTCTGTGCTGAAACCTCTTCTAATGTGACAGCTGTGCCACTTGTTTGTCCGCCAGGCTTTCAGGCACTGTGCTGTTGCTAAGGGTCCAGCTGGGGCATGTGTATGTGTGTTTTCATCTTCTTTTTTGAATGGATGTGAATGTCAAGCACAGTGAGCAAGGTGGCAAATCCCAAAAGAAGAATGCTCATAATGGGAGCGACAACCTGAGAGGATCCTCGTTATGCTTGTCATTATGTGACAGCAGACGGGGAGATTGTTTGCGTCTGGCCTTCATCTCTCACTCGGGCTCCCCTCTGCTCTCGCCTCATGCATGCTGTCATTAGCTAGGATCAAAAAATGCTCAAGCCGCTGGTGCAGCAGGTAAGCAGGCAAACACAACAGAAGCACACTCCAGGGAGCCAAGACAATGCACAAAAGGGAAAGAAATGTAAAGAAATGCTTTCTCTCTGCAGGATGTTAAAAGGCGGCGGACATTTTCTATATCTGTTTGCTAGTGGAGGATCAGATCAGATGTGAAATCACCAATTAATGAAGGCAAAGCTTTCTATTTTCTTGTTAAAAAAACAACTTCAGCTTGTTTATACATTATTTAAAGGCAGACAAACTTAACTGTGTCTGCATTTTTCACTGTGTTGGTTTGGTATCACTACAACACAAGGCAACCATATTATTTGACCTCTCATTCATTTCTTTGTGATTCAGATGATTTAAATTTGCCACGCTATGCTAAGATTATCACCATTACATATAATCAAATAATTGCCCAAGGGCACCAAGGGTGCAGTTGGAGATATGGTCCTTACGTTTTTCATTATAGTCACAAATTCTTAAAATCACAAGTTTTATTTACTTTCTTGTCAAAATACCAGAGGTGTGACCAAGTTACTGCTTTGCAAGTCACGAGTAAGTCACAAGTCTTTCCAGTCAAGTCTCGAGTCAAGTCCAAGTCCTTAACTTTGATTTTTCAAGTCATAATCAAGTCATCTGTCCAACTTCAATTTAATGACAATGATGATAAATAAATTCCAGAAATGAAGCTTCTTAAAGCTTCATTTATTTACTCAAACAAGCAGAAAGTGCAACTGAACTGGATTATAAACAAAGCGCTGCTGCTGTTAGCCGAACAAGATCAAACCCAGAATGATTTATGATTGTTGCCCGTGTCGTGCCACTTCTGTGCTAAAATATCAAACATGCTCAAGTCATCATCAAGTCAACAGATGCAAGTCGTAAGTCATTGGCGTTCAAAACTGAGTCAAGTTGTAAGTTTTTATAGATTTTATCAAGTCAAGCCAGAAGTCATTAAGATAATGGCTCAAGTCTGACTCGAGTCCAAGTCATGCGACTCAAGTCCACACCTCTGCAAAATACACAAGACTATAGATATTTATGGTTATCTGTTCATATTCAACCGGGTAATTTGATATTAAGGTATTTCAATAGACTTCATGTGCACAAGTATGTGTGCATGTGTGCATTTGTTAACCCTAACCCTTCCTGTCATTTTAAAAGATTTTAAACAAGTCTAAGACCAGAGGTTCATGTCAAAGCTGCCTGATAGATCTACTTCTCATTTCGCTATAGGAATGGATACTGAACTGTATATTTTGGACAGTATCCTAGATATTTTTAGATATTTTAGACAGTAATTTGGGCTGGGTGAAATTTCAGAAGACAATACCCTTGATGGTGTTTGTAATGCTTCTTTATTAAAGAGCAAGTCACCCCCTACCAGAGTCTAACTCCACTCCCACTTCATGTTTGAAAAATGCAACAAATGCTGTTGCCTGGCAGACCGAGAGGGCGGGGCCGCTAACAAATACACACACACAGGCTCATGACATCATTGTGGCATCATAATGTACCAGTTTACATCATAGCATACCTCTTAGCCAATAACGGTGACAGATTTAAATTAGAATACAGTGCAGAGTTTTTACCTGACAACGGCACAACACTGACAGTTTTAGGCAGAATATTTAAATTTTAACTAAGATGCACTGAAGTGCCAAATTATTGACGACACGTGTCTGCAGCACGATTAGACACTCATTTATTTAGTTTATCAGCAAAAAAATTTTTATTTGGGGGTGACTTGCTCTTTAAGCTTAAATCTGTGTTTCACTGCAGAAAAAAATGTATTTACATGGAAACTTATTTGAACGTCTGCCTAATCATATTGAATATTGTGATATTTTGTTGCTGAAGGAGAATCTGATTTATATTTATTTTAAAGGCCATAAAATTATGTTTTTACCTGAACTACAGGAGAGCATATTTCTTAATTTGTTACTTTAAACCGGGGGTCACCAGCCTTTGTGAAGCTGATAGCTACTTCTCCATTATTGAGCCTTATGAAGGTTATCGGTTTGATACGCCAAATGTTGTCACACACACAACACTGACCTTTGAACTTGAATAGCTTTGAGTTTAACTAAACGTTGTGCATTATAAACATATTTAAATGCTTTGTGATGAGAAAAAATCTCTTCTCTTTCCGTGTGTCCCTTAAGAAGTAGCCACAGCCAATCATCTGTATCCATTTAGTCCTGTCTTCTGCATCCTCTACCCTCACACATCCCAATTTCATGTCCTTTTTCACTGCAGCCATACATCTCTTTGTTGCTCTTCCTCTCAGCTTCCTGCCTGGTTGCTCCATCCTCAGCATCCTTCTATGTCATCATTGTCGCTCCTTAGGACACGCCCAAACCATCTCAGTCTGTCCTCTCTTACTCTATCTCCCAAACATCTAACATGAGCTGTCCCTATCCATCCTCATCACTCCCAAAGTGAACCTCAACATCTTGAGCTCTGCAACCTCTAGATCTGCCTCCTGTCTTTTCCTCATGGACATTGTCTCTTAACCAGACAACAGGTCTGCTGTCACTTTGTCATTTACACTTTTCATTTCATTATTGCTTTTAGAACAGGTCTGAGGGCACCTTACAGGATTCCTGGGGGCACCTTGGTGCCCACGAGCATCCAGTTGGTGACACCCTGCTTTAGACGTTAGCAAACTAACATGAAGTAATACGTTTTTTTATTATAATTTATTAGAAATTCACTGAGAGTGGAAAGGTTTAGAAATGAGTGGAAGACACTACAGATAATGCAACAAACATTTTGGAAAACTGAGACTGTAACAAGCGAAGAATAATAATGTGAATGGTGCATGTTAAATGTAGAGATGTTAATTTTTACCATATAAAAGCTACAATAGTGGCCATTTTTCAGTTGAAGGTAAACTTTCTGTGATTATAAAAATAATCTGTGAAAACTGATTGATTTATTTCAGCGAGAAAGACGTAGACAGCAGCACAATGGCACTGACGTCAGTTTTATTGCATTCAATAAATCATTCCTTAGCTGACTATGACACACAGGGATGGACGTGACCATGGTGACATTTAAGTCTTTCATCTGCTTATAACCAGCCTGAATTTCAAATCCTCAACTATTAGTGAGCAGAGGAAGAGCTAGCTTTATATGGTGGCTGCTCCTGCTCAAACACTCGGTCTCACTCACATATCAAGCTTCTAAATTTAGCATTTGGTGTTTTATTTTTTTACCTGCCACCTGAAGGGCTCACCCTGGGATGTGAGTCCCACTTTGTCTTCATCACATGCTGGTAGTGTCACTGTCTATTAAGTGGTGATGTGATTCAGATTTCCTGTGTAAAGATTAAACTGATGCTAGCACTGAAACCTGATGGGCTACGGCAGATAGAGTGGGACTGAAATATTGGATAGGAGTCTGTTATATAAGAGTTTTACACACACACACACACACACACACACACACACACACACACACACACACACACACACGCAAACATGTTTAATTTATGTGGTCGTAAAGCCCAGTCAATATCTCTACAGCCTGAAGGAGTGGGAATAATAAGTGATAAACAAAAGGTACAGCTTTGTGCATGTACAATGAAAATTAAAAGAAGGGCCCTCTGACCTTTAAAGGGGTACCAGGCAGGTTTGGCTTGCTTTTAGCACCCCCTAGTGTCTGTTTGTAGAACCAAAAAAAAAAACCTCCTTGATGTGCGCTCGTCTTTTTAACACCTAATCTAACAGCTGCAATGTCTCCCAGTCTTCCTTAGTGTCTACCGGGGTAAGTCATCACTCAGGGTTTCCCCCAGCGCTTCATAAGCCTGGCGGGCCGCCAGGCTAAGCGTCATGCCCCGCCCCCCATCCCTGACTCTACCGTGTCCGCTGACATGAACGGCGCAGCGAAACTAGAGCCCTTCATCAGCTGATACTGGTGAGAAACAGCAGCGGAACGTGTTCAACAACCCTACCCTCGCTCTCACAGAGGAGCGCTGCGGGACAGAGCGCGAAATCCCCATGTTATGGTTATATGTTGCAGAGCCGCCAATATTTTTCAACAACTGGTCATCATTTAATTCATTTTCAACCACATTTTGATGAACAGGTCCAGAGATTAACGACAAAACCTACATATTGTCACTTTAAGTTCCAAGTGGAAGTCTGGCCACATGGGGGCGATAGGGGCTTGGTGGCCTTTCATTAACCCAGTAAAGAGTAATTTTAATACATACTAGCTCAAGAAAATTATTTAAAAATCTAAAAAAGTTGCAAAGTATCCCTTTAAAACATTGTTCAATTGAAAAGAGTAAATTAAATGGTCTTCCGGAGGACAGTTGCTCAAACAGAGTGGACCAGGATGGGATGTGTTCCTTGCAGTGGACTGAAATGGACAGGCTTATAAAGAATTATTAGACCAGAAAAGTCCCACAACATCATTGAAAGCCTTATTTTTTTTCTTTTAAGAAAGTCTGATCTTGTATTAGATGGAACATGTGAAAAGTATTTTGCAAAAGTCTATTCCAAACTTTAGAAATCTCAATATGAAGCTGATAAACACCGAACACATCTCGCAGGTCTTTCATGCTTTTTTTCCTTTACAGTGCAATGGAGGAATTATTGCTTTTCAGCTATTTCGGTGCCGGAGTCGAAGACCTCCATTTGTCCCAAAGGCATTTTCACACCCACCACCTTTTTCACTTTTGTTCTCCCAGGTTCTGGCGTTCATGCCGTCACGCTGCCATTGATCATAAGCCGTACCTTAATGTGCTGATACTCCTTCTCCTCCTCCTGCAAAACCTCCAGCTGCTTCAGAGCAGATTCCTGCTGGAACTCTCCTCGTTCAACCTGCACCCAGATCAAGTAAAAACACAATATCAAGAGCCCGAACGCTTTCCACTCAGGATAAAAAAAGACATTCAGAAACGAATGGGTTTAACTTTTATCACTTGTTCTTTTTTAATATCAGTCAGGCATGCTTCACCTTCACTTGGGGCTGGCAGGGAGTATTAATAATGTATCTGAGAATATCTTTTATTTAACTTTACAAAATGCAGATTTGCTGAATTATCTGCTTTAACAGCCGTAGACAGTAGTGTTGGTATTTTGAAGGGAAACGCTCGCCTAAAGCTTTAAATTTCCGCAACTTGGAGTAAAATGTGAAAGAGCTGAAACAAAAGATGATTCTTCTGGTCCTGATGAGACATGCAGGCATAAAACATCCTCACAAGATTCATACAACAATTCCAGCTACTGTGGTTTGCTCTTTTCATAGAGCTGCATTATGCTGATACAAATGAAGACCGTCTGCCTTCAGTTCAATAAAAAAATCAGCATTATTATTTTTTTTTTGCTTTAATTAGTCATGAAATATTTTATCCACAGAAAAACAGCACAACCAGCTGCAGCCTTCATTCATTATTTAATCATCGGTTTCCAAAGGAAATGCCAAAATGCAACCAAGATAAAATAATTTTGACAATTTCATTTTAAAGGAAGAAGTGCTGTGACACTCACACTCACCATCAGTTGTTTCATGGAGTTGTGTTCTTCGTTTTCTCGTGCCGCGTTGTGGTCCTTGTGCACGATCTCCACCCGGATATCGTTTTTTGCCGACACGACTCCTTTCAGATCTGTCAGAAACAGACGACACACACGCGGCCCATCTTAATAAACCCGGGTAGTAGATAGACCGCTCTGTATTTGTTTTGATAACAATTTTCCTGAGTGAAATTTGCAGTATGGTTATATTTAGCAACGATTCATGGGTTTGCCTCGTTAGAGCTCTCCCATTGCCTGACAAACAATACAAAGAAATAATTATTTGTTTCCTGCCAACACAAGATAATCACACTTTATTCCCCCAAGGGTGGCTCATTTCTGTTTGGGACAATGCTGTTGTTATTCTGTCAGATAACAAAGTCTTACTTTCTGTCTTAATTTTGCTTGCAAGTTCTCTCTGGTGAGCACAGATGGAGACGGGCAGTGAGGGCATAACCAGGTGCACTTCCTCTGTAGCATACAGACAATAGACATGCTGAAGGGACCAGTAGCACAGAGTGGTTCTTGGACAGAGACAGCGGCGGACTGCCTCTAATTTGAGTCATTTGGGGTGGGTGGCGGTGAGCACAGTGCACAATGTAAATAGTCTCAAAAACAAATGAAGCCAGAACTACGATTTGCATGAAATGATCCCTGATCACAATCTGGCTGTCTGCACCACAAAAAGATGTCCATCTCCAGCAGTGATTCATGTAGTGGTGAGCACGATCTGTGCAAGCACTGTACTTGTGTCACATACCTTTGTCGTCAATCAATTGGTTAAAATGTCCAAATATTTAGGGAATCTTACCAGGAGATTATTTTTTTTAATATTTAATAATGATTTCTCTGGAAATGTTAGATTCTTACCAGTAGATGGAACAGATGGATTGCCTCAAGAACTAAACAGTTGGGTAAAAAAAAAAGAATAATAAAATGTAATAAATGTTCCTTTTTTGAATATTTACTAGTATTTTACACGTATTTTTGATTTCCTAACTAAAATCTGCATTGGCTTTGATAGGATTATATTTTTCCCAGGTATTCTTCCAAAGTACCATTGTGATGCAAAACTAATGCTAGTATAGATATTCATGAAGGCAACATATCATCAACTGATCAGTGTGCATCCTATTACAAAGAACTGCAATAAATGAGTCTTATTCGGTTTATTGATTGACTCCTATTGGTCTAAATGCCTCCAACCAGTTTAGATGGTGCGGGTTGATGTGCTAAAGCTGCAGAGTGAGAACGACGCCACAAATTACACATTTTTTCTAAATTTGAGCAGCCTTCACTTTAGTCTCAGCTGCACTTGGAGCAGCTGTCTGCGCCTCACTCTTTCTGTCAAATCTGAGGCAGTTCATAGAGCATCTACACTGGGTAAGAAGATAATTAGTCACAACTGTTCCACAGAAAAAAATCTTCAAAATGTTCATTTAAGTAGAAATTTTTCATTCCGTTTGATTTAAAACAATCTGTTGATCTGAATGGATGGACATTTTTCTGCGTGCTTGGAGATAATACAGTCCATTTGTATGAACGCTTTAGTGGGTGCAGGAGCATAAGGGAGACGTACTTCTCTGGGAGCGGGTGCAGCAGAACGCGCCGATGGTGCCCATTAGGACAATGAAGGCCACAAAAGCTCCTACAGCAATGCCGATGATCACAGCCACGGGGAGAGATTCTGCAGAGAACAAACATCAAGACGTGTCCCGCTTAAACAAAGTACTACAGACCCCTGCTGTTGTACACTGAGACAGGGCTCGTGTCAGGAGACGTTTTTTCAATTCGCCACTTTTTCCAGGTGGGAACAAAGCACAAACAGGAAGTCACAGATTAAAAGGGATGAAAAAAACCCACATATGTCCTAAGAGCAGCAAATTTAAATTACATACCTCGCTTGTGAATAGTGTGTGTTTTTATTCGGATAGTCTCTCGCTGCTTCATCGATCACATTTAATTTATTTAGGCTACTAAAAGCATTTCACAGCGCTGTGATTTTCACTCAATAGAAAGCAAGTGTTTTTCACCTTCATTAAGGCACAATCACGTTTGTTTGCTTGCTCCTAAACAGATGTTTGCAGCTGGAATAAGACTAAAGCAGAAGGCCTTTATTTAGAAGCTGTTTAGGCAGGAAAGGTCCCCCATAAGTCATGCTTTAATGAGAAACCGCAACACCAATCCACATCTACGACCAACTCTTACAAATACAAACACGTTGGGTGCTCTTCCCACCGTTTAAATCTGCCTAATGTCTCCACTGATTAGTGTCAGTTTCATGCAGGCAGCGTGTAATTCTTATCATTTGTGACAGAACTGAAAACACAGCTCCTAGTGTAGCAGAGGTCAGTTATAAAAAGTACTCATGCTGAACAAAAAGCTCTGTTTGAAGTTCACCTTTTATACAAACAGAAGGAAAAAAAGTAATTTATATTGCAGCTGCAGTGCACGTTAAGGCTCGCTGGATCTAATTAATTAGAAACTTCATGTATTGACACAGAAACGCACCGATCCAGTTTCACGTGGTGAGGAATTTTATGTCACGAATATTGTGATGCACACAAAACACCACAGCTCAGTCATCCCCTAGCAGAGGCTTAAAAGAAAAAGGCGTGTTTGTGAAGAAGAGGAAGGTGGAACCTGTCGAACCTTGGCTCCCACCTTGTTCCTTAAGGCGAATGATCTCAGTGTCGGAGCCGAAGCTGTTCCAGGCGGTGCAGTTGTAGATCGTCTGGAAGTCTGCCGGGACAATGTTGCTCATGGTCAGCGTGGAGATGACTCCTTCGTCTGTGTTGACGGTCTCAACGGTGTAGCGTCCAGAGGTTCCGGACTCCAGAACGGTTTCCTTCCAAGACCAAGCCTGTGGAAGATCAAGATGTCCTTTTAGTCACCAATAACAGCCCCAGACCAGCTCTTAGTAGTCCCATTGACCTGCCCCAAAACCTAAAGCACCTGAGTCAGATATTTATTTCTGGTACATAAGATGATTGCAACAGAGTTTTTAGAATCATTTCCAGAATGTACATTTATCTCAAAAATACAGTTTAAAAAGAAAGTTATCAAATCAGTCAAAAAGTAGCAGAGGTTATCAGAGTTTGCCAAGAAAATAGAAAATTCTATGTTGTTTTGGCTGCTAAAAATGCTCCTAAATCTTCTGTGATTAAAATGTTGTGATTAAAAGTACATTTATTTTCGGCACATTGGCTGCTGCTCATGTGTGGCTGCCAATTCAGGAACATTTCTCAAGGATCTGTAGCGGAGGTAATGTTTTGAAGATAGTTTGACGGTAGTAAACTGCTTGTACTTAAAGTTTTTCACCTCTCGTTGTACTTTGTTAAATCCTTGGATTTTGCAGTTGGAAGACCTTTGTCGACCTCTTGCAAAGCATCTTACTGAACCGATTTTCTAAACATCCACACATCAGAAAAAGTACTTGGGTTAGACGATCCAAGATTCAGATTGAAGTATAAGAGTTGAGCTTTTAGAAGTAACAGTCCAAATTTGGAAAAGTGTTTCTACACATACACACACTCTATAAGAAGAAAGACTTCAGATTTTGGTATGAACATTTGGATGCAGCCTTGCTAGTTTTGCTTGTAGTAAGCTACTTTTCCTGTGTCAGATGTTTTTTATCTATAAAATTCACATTTATTAGTAAAATATGGATTTATAACACATCTGTATGAAAACACAAACACAGGGCTGGAGATCTATTTTCGTGAAAACTCTTATTTAAAGTGACACTAAAGAGCTTATTTAAAACATTAAAGGTGCAGTATGTAAGAATATAGTGAGAATTCTCCAAACTATTTAACACGACATGTTTTAATTTTGGCCCATGGGGAGAAACTGGAGTACCCAGAAGAATCTCTCTCTCTCTCTCTCTCTCTCTCTCTCTCTCTCTCTCTCTCTCTCTCTCTCTCTCTCTCTCTCTCTCTCTCTCTCTCTCTCTCTCTCTCTCTCTCTCTCTCTCTCTCTCTCTCTCTCTCTCTCTCTCTCTCTCTCTCTCTCTCTCTCTCTCTCTCTCTCCTCTCTCTCTCTCTCTCTCTCTCTCTCTCCTCTCTCTCTCTCTCTCTCTCTCTCTCTCTCTCTCTCTCTCTCTCTCTCTCTCTCTCTCTCTCTCTCTCTCTCTCTCTCTCTCTCTCTCTCTCTCTCTCTCTCTCCTCTCTCTCTCTCTCTCTCTCTCTCTCTCTCTCTCTCATCTCTCTCTCTCTCTCTCTCTCTCTCTCTCTCTCTCTCTCTCTCTCTCTCTCTCTCTCTCTCTCTCTAACCAGCAACTTTCTTGCTGTGAAGCAGTAAGGGGATACTCACGATACGGTCTGGCGGAGGTGTGCTACGAATGAAACATTTGATTTGTCCTTTTTCACCATGTAAAGCTTGCTGAGTCTGAGTGCTGGATATAGTTGGTGGTCCTGGAAATAAAGAGAAATCACAGAAACCGAAACATGAATATTTAAAATCTGTTTCAGTTTCAGCTCATAATTCTGCTCTGCGGAGTTCTTGTTGGTTTCAACTGAATGTTTCCCATTCTAAGCTGTAATTCAGGAATTCTTGGAATAAGTGTCTCGGATAAAGAGTTATGAACACACATGCCATCCATGAGCACTGTGTTATTCCAGACTGACCAGGGCTGATCAAGCACACACAGGGGACTTCATTGGGGGAAACAAAACTGTTGATCTAACACGGCTCGTTTCATGAACAGTATCGTAGAGAAAACGCAAAATGTCAAAGTTTTGCCAAATTCAATGAAACAAACATCAGTTCTATTTACAGATTCGTCCTAATTATTCCTTGTCATGTTCGCAGCAATCATTAAACTTTTGCGTTGTGCATAATTTAGATTTTTTCATAAATAAGAATTTAAAATGGGAGCTGCAAATCCAAGACTGGAAGCCACAGTGTGTTGAACAGTCTGTTCTAGCTACAGAATGCTGCCTGACGGAGGGCAGCTTGGCCTAAACGGCTGGACTTGTCACCATCTGGTCAGGAAGCTGCCTCCACACCAGATGACAGCAGCAATATGGAAATGAGATGACTTACACAACCCCAATTACATCATTCAGGTATGTTTACCCTTTGTTAATGAGGAATTCATTTAAATACGTTGTATGAAGTCAAAAGATAGATGATAATCCACAGCAAACACATTGCAGTAACAAAAATGATCATATGAAAGAACAAAAAATAATTCTCAAATAATGATTTAATTTATTAAATGAAAAAAAAACCAAAGGTCTTCTGGATTTGTTGCTAGAGAGCGGAATTTGTGGTTCTATCAATTAAAGCAAGTGGTCCTGAAGCAGCAGAGCAGCCCCAGACCATCACACTGCCACCACCATGTCTGACTGCTAGCATGATGTTTCGCTTATCACTTGTGTAAAAAAAAATACAGCTTCCTAAAAAAGTAAAATTTCGCCTCATCAGTCCACAGAACATTTACCAATATGTTTCCTAGCAAAAGAGCTTTTGTGTTCCTTTGGGCCATCAAAGGGTTTCTCCTTGGAACACACTCATGAAAGGATTGTGTTGCTTTTTAAGATATTCGACCTTCTCCTTATTGTAAATTGTTAAGGGATTTCTTATTTCTGCAGGTCTTGGACCTGGGTGTAGGGGAGTAACTTCAGCGTTAATCACAGTTCATTCATGATTTAGTAAAAGTGGGAATACGTTTGGTTTGGATTGCTTTTTCCAGATGGTGGTAGAGAAGTTAAGTCCCCACTTTGTAATGGGAAGGTTGCAGGTTCGAGCCCCGCTTCATCTCTCACTGTTGTTGTGTCTTTGAACAAGACATTTAACCCACTTTGCCTGCTCTTGGCAGCCTTGCTTCAGTCAGTGTGTCCCAGGCCAGAAGTGGCTACATTTTAGCTTATCACTATCAAAGCACAAAGAGGGCTCAAATGCAGAGCTCACACAGTTTTAATCAGCAGAAGGGATTCCTGGAGTACAACACAACTGAAAAGTCCAAATCTAACTGAATACACTTTAACCAAGTGTTTCTGAGAGCAGGTTCACATCACACAACAGGAGAAGACAAACTGGCAAAGGAAACTGTTGCAAAGACGCTTAAATGGAGAAGCCATGACCCAGGTGCAAGACATGAGGCAGATTAGTGAGGAGCCTCATGTCGTGAAGCTGCCTGTAATGAGACAGGAAGTGAATGCACAAAATAAAACAGGAAGTACCAGAAATACAATAAAACCAGAAACAAGACTGCAAAGCACTCAACCTGCAGAATCACCCATGACAATCGCCACCTGTGTGTGAATGTGTGTGTGCATGTGTGAATGGCTGATTGTGTTATAAAGTGCCTTGGGGGGGGTTGTAGAACTCTAGAAGGCACTATATCCAGTACAAACCATTGACATTTACTTTAGTGGATAAAAATATTTGTTTTAACACTGAACACACAGAAACTTTTCATCACAATATAAGTTTAATTATATATCTGTTTATTTTGTCATGTGATTCAACCTTTAAACATTCAGCTTTGTTTTTATCAGAAAACACTGCCATAATACGGACTTTCACCAACAATTAAAATCTAAAAAAGAGGAAAGCTTCCTGTTGCTTTTTAAAAAAGTAATTTGACAATCACTTAAAATCAGCGTTATGACACCTTAGATGGTTAAGGTTAAGAATCAGGAATGCTGCGTGTGAGTAAGTGAGACAGCACCATGATTAGTGAGACAACTCACATCCCCACCGGCTTCCTCAAACTCCTGCACTCTGCCGTCTCTCTGACGATACATAATTGCAGTTTATTACCTGTCTCTTATTAAAATGAATTAGCATTTTAATGAGACTTTGCCAGATGGTGTCTTGGTATGATACTGGGGGATGCTGCAAGGCCGCTACAGTGCTGCAGACGACTCAAGAAAAATGCACCAACTACTGTGATGCTTCTTATTCTAGTTGCATGAACATCATTGGTTCATGGTCCATTAGAGGGCTTTGACATGTGGCATCTACAGTGTGTGTGATAATTCCTGATTACAAGACAAAATGTGTGTATGTTAGCATTAGCTTCAGCAGCACATACAGTAGCTAGATCAATTTCTGGCTGGCTGCAAAAAGACTGCTTGTAATGACTGGGGAGGATCTATGCTATGGATTAGAACTGCAAATTAGGAATATTATTAGATAGCTTAGTCTCCCAGCCTCAGCTTGGCCTGAAAGTCAGTGTGTGTGTGTGTGTGTGTGTGTGTGTGTGTGTGTGCGCGCGCGTGTGTGTGTGTGTGTGTCACTGCCATTGTCTGATCAGCGCACAAACATGTTAGGAGCTGGGAGGTGGGTGGCACCACAGCATCAACGCTAGGCAGCAGGGGAGGTAATCAAAATGTTATGTGCAATGTTTCACTCATTCATTTGAGGAGGTGTTAACTCTTGAGTGGACACCGCAATCTCATTACGCAATATCAGCGTGGGTGTCAAAACGCCAGAGCGATCGTTTCCTTTCCCAAACGAATTCATTTTCTTGACATTTCCTCTCAGCCTCCGTGAGCTTTTTTCCCCAACTTTACAAGAAAATGGGGAACAAATGGCTAAGAGGTTAGTTAAACATATGAAAAGTGTCTAACGTGGTCACATATGGTCATGTTTTCCCTTATTCACAATGACATGCAATTGCCTGATGGAAATTCAACCTATTTTCACTAAACATATTCTTGCAAATTGAACTAGACTGTTTCTTTCTCCTCCAAGCAGCGAGATCACAAGATCTGCATCGCCCTCACATCAGACAATGAAGCGCATTCATAACTCATAACCACAGGCCACAAACTCCCATCATTTAATTTTCTAGCCGAGCATCGTGTCTAAACAAGAACTGAAACACTGTATTTACTAAAAGAATCTACGCGACAAACAAATGTAGAAAAATGTAGATCAGCCATAAATACTAATGATAATTATAGAGTGGAGAGTGTTTCGTTTGCTTTAACCACGTGACGAGAAAAGACACTCAAACCTTTGATATTTAACTACTGAGAGAGGGGATTTGTTTTCTAGTCTCCAGAAGAATACAAAATCCAGTTGCCTTTAACTAATAACCCGGTTGGCTAAGAATCTTGCATTCAACCAATCATTCCTGCTGAGTTTGACACTATGATTGTTCCTTACTCAGAAATGATGAATTCAGAGAGCTTTTCACCATTTTGTACAATCTCAAATGTTATCACAAGCTCTCAAGCAATATGTCAGCACTCAGTGTGTTATTTACTGGAGCCCAATATCAGGCAAGGCAGCTTTATTTGTATAGCACACTTCACACACAGAGGCAATTCAATGTGCTTTCCAAGAAGGTGAACAGCAAAATCCCCGTGACAAATACACAAATATATTTAGATTAAATTAAATACACAAATTAAATTTATATTTAAGAATCAGATGAAAGGCTAAGTTAAAGGGGGAGCAGGTACAGTGCAGAAGGTGCAGCATAAGTAATATTCAAAGGCTGATAAATGCATGAAGGTTTACGGTTTTGATTTAAAAGTTACTAGCGTTGGGGTTCATTTGAGGCTATAAGGAAGCTGATCCCATCTGTGCAGCATAATAGCTAAAAGCAGCTTCACCCTGTTGTGTTCTGACCTGGAGTTCCACCAGCTGGCTGTTGGATCTCAGAGCCCTGCTGGGCGTATATACTTGAAGGAGATCCAACATGTATTCTGGCCCCAGGCCATCGAGTGATTTATAAACTAGTAGAAGCATTTAGAAATAAATTCTCTAGTTTATTGGTAACCAGTGTAGAGATTTAAGAACAAGAGTGATGTGCTCGGTTCTTTTAGCTACGTTTTGTATTCCCTAAGGTCAGCTGGCTGTGGCATCCATCTTGAACTGGTTTGACTTCAAAGTGAATCAGTTGTAGATGAAGATTCAAGGAAATCTGAGAGTTTCTTTCAAATTTGTCAAGCACTTCTAAGAAGTTAGTAATAGAAATGTCCTATTGTCCTCCAGTCAAATTTAACTGTTAACCGACATTTCCTTGTCCAAGTATACCGGAGTGTCGACAGTCAGTGGCTGAAGATGGTGACTCCTGTACATGCAGCAGCGCGTGTCAACACCGAACTGCTGTTTCTATGGTGAAAAATCACTGGGACATTTATCCGTGACTTATGGCCATAATAAAAACTGCGGTTAATCATTTCTAACACGATTTGGAGTTGCAAGAGATGATCATTCAACTTGGTTTATTGGTCCAAAGTGATTAAGGGAAATGAATGGTTATGTCCTGGTTCAGATTCTTTGTTTCTAGACATTTAAACTGTTCAGACTCAAGCACCTATGGTTTGTGACTGATTATTTGTTTATGTTTGTTTTTCTAAATGCTGAGCAGTGATAGTTTATGTCTGTTTTCTGTTGTTTTTGAGCTGTTTTTTTGTGTCAGTCCTTTACTATTTACACGAGGCAGCAGATTTATCGGGGGCCATTTGGCATCGAGCTGCTATTATTCCAGAAGGTATGAGAGCGTCAGTTCTTACTCACTATTTGGTACCATTTAAAATCCTCTGCGACTGTGTCAGTGAAAATGATGATGTTAATGTCCGGTTAATGGATTGTGACATTTTCATTCAATGAAAACACGCAATTAAACAAACAAAAATCTTTACTTTCAAAGTGGTTTTTTTTTGTTATTGAAAATCTGAAATTTATATAATCAGTGGTCAGATTTATTAGTCGGAAAAAGTTTGAAGTCCATAAAACCCTATTTTTACAGGCCTATACATGAAAGAATGCATATGCCTTTAAAGGTGCATTATGTAAAAATGAAGTAAGTCATGTGATAATATTTGGTTGCTGCAAACGCTTTCAACAACTCTGGAGCTTTTTGCCAGTCATCGTCAAATTACAATTGTTGGCACTGCAGTGTTAGCTCGTAGGAGACATGGCAACCCCACACTCATTGATCGTAAACAGTAGTTACATTCCTCCTTCCGTTGCTTTGAAAGGAGGAAAAACTGACAATCCCTGCAGCCAGCTGGATATGAAACATGTTTCAGTTTAACCTTCCTTCCCAAATTTTTGGGATTTTCTCACAGTAAATTTCTCACTATATTCTTACATACTGCACCTTTAACAGTTAAATTGCATGCTCATTTTATGTGAAGAAATAATACACCCATTGCCATTTTGATCAAATTTTGCAAATAATAAACTGTTGAACCTTTTTGATCATAAAATCGCACATACTGTGTTAGCTTTCAAAGGATATTCATGACCCTCAGCTACTGTCCACACGTAGCCGGGTATCTCCCAAACAATCCGATCTACGATCTGGCCTGTCCTCCAAACGAAAACGCAGATTTACACAAAGAAAACAAATCTTTGTTAAAAACTCCGGCCAAAGTGAAGATTTGCATTTTCTCTGTTTTAAATGTTTCTGTGTCGACAGATTAAGGTTAAGGTGCATGCCAACGTCACTGTCTGCGACAAAATTGCTGGCGGCCCATGTGCGACCTGTGTTGACAGCTCAACATGAATGTCCTAAGAGCTGTGCTCGCATTATCAATCATCCAAGCGCTTATTTACTCTTTTTTTTTACAAGCATAGTTACTGCTACTTGCTAGGCACCATGTTTCATGTTTTGTTAAAGTTGAGCAGGAAGACGAAATAGTTAGGATTCAGGGGAGCTACTGCTGCCTAAAGGTCTGGCATGCCTATGAATGTGCCAAACATTGCACTAATGTGGTTACGTGTGAATGGACTTTTTTCTAAAACAGAGGTGTTGGGGATATTTTTTGAGGGCCAAAAAAAATGGCTATGTGTGGACAAGCCCTAAGGTATAGATCAGATCAAAATAAATGACTTCACTGTTGATTAGCGGCAGTGGCCACCTTGACTGAGAATGACTCCTAGTTAATCAACTCTATTAACCCGAATATAGGATGAGGTTTTTTTCATTGATAATAATTTTCAAAGGTGGGGTCTTATTATAATCGGGGTCTAAGAATTGACACATGCTGATTTTGTCTGGGGTCATTACACGCCCGTAACAGCAGAGGGCGCCAGGCTGTGTGTTCTCAACAGGAGAGAAAACAATGGAGATGAGATGTCCATGGACCAAAAGTGGGGCATGGCAACATACTAAGGCAGAGTTAGGCGAAATTGAAGATAACGATGGCCAATTCAGCAGAGGCGTCAAACATTGCCTCCTTAGATGAAATGGATGGCATTGAGGATGACGTTTAATGGGAGGAGCCGACAGGTGTAGCGATCTGATGGTGCACCCCGCAGCAGCATGAGAGTGAGAGAGTACAGCGAGGCAGAGTACGTTTGTGAATAAAAGCTTCATTAAACTTTTGATTTCACTTGCCAGCAAAGTTCTGATAGTTTGCATTAAAACAGCATTGTTGCTCAGTATTTGTTCTCAAAATTTCAATAAAAATAGTTTATTTAAAAAGTGATTTTTTTTTTTTGTCTTTTTCTGAAGATTAGTCTTGGAAAGGGGTTCATCTTATAATTGGGGTGTCCTATATTCAGGTCAATATGGTAATTACTTTGAGGCCCTGTTTTCTTTATTCCAGGTGTTTAAAAAACTTTTTTTTCAGCTTCTCCACTCTCAAGTGTTTTAGGTGTTTTGAAATCTTTGTAAAAACTGATTTGCGTGGATGTTTGATAATGAACTTAAAATAAAGAGCTCAAAGTCTGTGTATTGATTCACATCAGTTTGTGCTTTTAAAGTCCGTTGGCAGTGGTGACTTAATTTCAAAAGTTAATCATTTGATTTTAACTCAATAATTACACTTAACACATTAATTGAGTTAAATGGAGTCTTTCTCAGAGGTATTTAAAATCTACCGGAACCTCTCATAGAGCCACTTGTCACAGCCTGAAAATGAGTGGGTCAGACCTCAAATGTAGGTTTCTTCCTCAATGAGTTGCACTTCTGTGTCTTACACAGTGTTACTGTCAGGGTGGATCTAATTAATCAGCCACATAAATAGTCCAGAACAGAGAAAAGATCTATAGGAACTCAGTGCTGTATGGGATGTTGCAGGATTTCCTTCCCCTACACAGAAGTAGGCTGCTGAAGCTCCGCATGTGTGTCATTATCCACTCTTTCTGCCCAGAGTGCTACACATAATCACAAACAGAAATGAAAGTCTACTCATACACAGAGATAAATTAACAGCCTGATATATGGCCCTTAGGTTAAGAAGCTAAATCTTCTGAAGCGTCTCAAAAAGCACATTTTCTTCCAACCTCAGCAAGTTAATGAAGAATAAATACTTTACACTTTTAATTGTAAGCTAGATAAACACCAGGCGTGCATGGGAGTGCTCAACCCTCCTTCACGCTCCTTTGACAAACTTTGCATTAAAAACTGAGGAGCTTTCTGAATTATAAAAAAAAAATGGCTGACTGCAGTAAGCGATATGTATTCATTAGTGATTTAAACACCAACTGCTTCCCCCTGCTAGCTGTTTGATTATAATTAAATTACATTCTTCCCCAGGGAAAGAAAAATCCTCATGTCAATGCGGTACGCCACAGTGGGAGCCAGTGACACAAAACGACTGAGGGAGATAGAGAGGATGACAAATTATAAACACATGTAATTTAAAGGATGGCTTTAAGGAAACTGGATAACTGTGGGAAAAACAAATACTGCCAAAGCGCTGAAAATGTGCAGCAGATGCTGTCGCATCACGAGCGCTCAGAATGTGCCTGGATTGTTACAGTGTGACAGCGAAGGCCCTCGCTCATCTGTTATCTGCGTGAGTCAGAGTTTGAATCAATCCAGTGCGTCTGACAGTCAGCAATGTTGGGTTTAAAGGCTGACGAGAGCCGAGGTTCGTCTGTAGATGAGACAGATGTGGCGTGGGGCAATCAATGAACATCAGGCGGGAGTCCACCACACGTGTCCGCGGTGGGTGCACGCTCACAAGTTTAAATATCTGATTTGCCTGAAGGACTGAGTAAGAATTGACCCAAGACTTTTTTTATGTAGATTGGAAAAAAGAGATGAAATTCAATTATTCAGAAGGCTAAAAAGGACAGAGGCTCTGAATTTCAAATGGCAATCCAAGCATGGAGGTTCAAGAAGCAAAAAGAAGAAAGAACAAAGAGCGTTAGCAAATAAAACCAACCGGGAGGCACAAAAACTCCTTGAATTATATCAAAAGAGCCCAAATAAACACGTCGTTTCAGCTTTGTTTCCCGTCTCTCAGTGAGTTGTGTTGTAACCTTTATTAAAACAGTCTATCATTTTTATACCATGATGATTTCCAAACACCACATGAGCTCCATTAGTTACACAAACGGAATAGAGGTGCGTCAAAATAAACTAGTACTCTGGCTGTAATAAATTCTGTGTAAACACAAACTGAAGTGTAGAGGATGCCAGGCAAGGGTGCTATCAAAATAATGGGAGACAATAAGAGTTGTTGTGAATTTTCTTCTCATGTTGGGGTTTTAAACCTAATTCCTTCACGGGGAGAGGGCTCCTTGTGGTTCATAGAAAGTCATGGCTGTGATCTGTAGCTGGAGGGAACACTGGCATCTCGCTCTCTCTGATATGCAAAAACCTGTGTCTGGGCTTTAAAGAGGAAACCTTTAAACAGTGTTTGCTACTTGAAGTATCTTCATCCCCAGATCAGCGTGAGTGTTGCTTACAGGCAAACTCTTTTGTTAGCTTTCAAAATGTGCAGCGATACTCAGCAAGCATACGCTTCACTTCACCCTGACAGCCTCATAACGCCTTTTCTTTCCCCATCCAGTTCTTGGTTTGGTGCAGGTTTCTTCCAAATGGACACAGGGGAGAATCAGAAACATGTAAATTCCACACCCGAGCACCTCCGCCATGCTGAAGCATGCTCCATGAATATCAAGCACTGATAATGAAGTCATTTGTTTGAGAGTTGCCAGGTCTCCCACCAAGGCTGGTATTCATTAGTTAGTTGGCGCCTGAGAAAAAAGCAGCTTCCCCGTGACTCATGTGGAATCTAATTAGCATTTAAGCACATTTCACCTGTTTATGAAATGTGAGACAAAATCCTGAATAGACTAGTTTGTACTCTATTTTTTTGTGTGTGACAGCTAATGAAAGGACCATGTTTTATTTATTACATTACTTGTGTTAGGGAGGTTGGTTTGTGAGTGCACGCTTTTGTGCCGTGTTCTTGTGCTACATTTGGTGGCTGGTGTTTTGTTTCACCACCTGCCTGTTAAATTAACCGTATCCCCAGGAAATTTATATAATACGTTTAAAATAATAGGAACCGCAGAAGTGAAACAGAGTTGAAAATCATGTTGGGAGGTTTTCTTGAAAGCTTGGACATGTTTTTTTTGTCTTCTTGCCACTGGTGACCCCACTGAAGAATCACGCTCTAATGTGTTTTACAATTGACAACTTTATGTGGGGGTTGCGTCCGAACCGGTCTGTGAAAAAGACAAAACTCACCATTGACGGTAAGAGAAACCTCTTTCTCTCCTGCTCCGACACGAGGGACCACAGCACGACAGACATATTTCCCTGCATCCTCTTGTCTCACCGATTTCAGTGTCAGCAGATTCTCATTGCTAAGAACCTGTGGCAGAAGAGTCAGAGACGGTCAGACCCGGTGACTGCAACTGAACCTTTGCATTTGTGATGGTGGCGAGGCAGTGCTAAAGGGGAAGAAACCAAGGCAGCACACAGACCATTTAATACCTTAAAGGGCACCTCTTCTCAATTATTAAAATCCAATTTAGGGTCTGAGCTCAGTGGAGAAAGGCTATGGCCTTTGATGTTGACAAAAGGAAAGGTGGAATGAGTTTGATTCTGCGGATCAAAGCAATGGCTCTCGCGTGAGAGCAGGTCAAAGAGAGGTTGGAACAAAATACTTACTTGGAATCGACATTTACGACCATAAAACAATGATATAAAATACACCCCCACTGCATAAAACTCAGAAGTTCTTGAAATTGTATTAGGGATTGGAATATGTGATTGTTTAATGCATAAAATCCGATTTGATGTGAGTTGTATACTTACCACTCCAGAACCTCTTTTCATCCACACTATGGTGAGAGATGGATTTCCCGTCCAGGCACAATTGAAAACAGCATCAGATCCCAGATCAACCTGCAAGGACTGAGGCTCTGCAGCCATGCGAGGGCCAACTGTAATTGAAAAGAAAATGTCTTACACTTAAAGTATTGATGGGCTAAACACGGTAGTGCCGAACATATTGAGGAAAACTACCATGTCAGGGCCTTCAGGTGTTCTGACAGAGACATGGATGAGCGGGATTGGTGTGGAGGAAGTTGTTCCAGGAGAGCGGAATGTTAAGGAGTTTTGATTCAGAGTCATTGAGTTGACACTTCCTGAAGTGCACTAGTAGTATATTTACACAAATGCCCGAATTCACCATTTGTTGGGATGTTCCAAAACTTTTGGCAAAGTTGTGTATCTACCATCGGTTGTTCATTCATCCATCTATCCATTCTCTTCCACTTATCTGGAGTTGGAGACTTCCCTCTACCCAGCTACTGGGAGCCGCTCCTCCGGGGGGATCCCAAGGTGTTTTCTGGACAGCTGAGAGACATAGTCCCTCCAGTGTGTCCTGGGTCTTCCTTTAGGTCTCCTCATGCTTGGACGTGCTCGGAAAACTTCAACAGGGAGGTGTCCAGGAGGCATCCTGACCAGATGCCTGAGCCACCTCAACTCCTCTCAATGTAGAGGAGCAGCAGATCTACTCTGAGCCCCTCCCTGATGACCAAGCTTCTAACCCTATCTCTAAGGGAGAGCCTGGCCACCCTGCAGAAAAAGACACATTTGGGCCAATACCTAAAGCTTGTCACCATAGGTGAGGGGGAGAACGCAGATCAACTAGTAAATTCAGAGCTTTGCTCTCCGGCTCACTTCTTTTTCACACACCGGTACAACGCCTGCATCACAGCAGATGCAGCACCAATCTGTCGCCCTATCCATCTTTCCATCACCCAATTGCCTCGTGAGGCAGGACCTTGTCCCTGACCTGGAGAAGACATTCTACCTTTTTCAGACTCAAGACCATGGTCTTGGATTTAGAACAGCTGATTCACATCCCAGCTGCTTCAAAACAAAGTACCATCATGGTTACACATATAAAAGACTAAATATCCATGGTCTTGCAGAGTTGTGCAACTGGCAATGAAGAAATACAAAGAAGAACCACTCACAGTAGACATCAACATTTCGGCTGATGTTGGTGCTGCCAAGAGAGTTGGTAACTTCACAGGAAACAGGCTCCGTAAAGAAGGAGTGGTCCACAAGAACCTCGTACGTATCTCCAGAGACGTCCTTAATTATGCTCCCTCCTTTGGCCCACCTGATGGCAAAGGTGGATTGGGGGAAAATGACAGAAAAAATTCATGAAAAGGGCACAATTAAAAAAAATGTTCGAATGGACTTTCAAGCCCCTCCCTCCTTTTGCCAACAGTGTTCTTTTGTGTGAATAAATCATAATTCTTAGGCAGGTTTTTCAGTGCTGGCTTCAGCACATTTTTGTGGCAGCCCTCCACGCTATGACAAGCTTTCTGGAAACTCAGAGCAGACAGCACGTTCCTCATTACACCTGACAGAGAGCGACGCCGAGCGCCAGCAAAGAAAAACAAATCACAGAATGACAAATGGGTCTCTCCCCCACCTTTGAAGACATACTGTATTAAACACAACAGTTGACAATAATAAATAGAGTTGGGATCACATAAAAAAAACATCTGTTTGTGTTTGTGAGTGATATCTTCTGTGACACACCACACGTGTTCAGGTGAGACTTTTATGATGTCACCAGCAGCTGTGTCTCACTCTACACAGTCTCTGTGGCTGCAGCAGACAGGGCCAATTTATAAAAATGAAGCAAAGGTGTTTGGGTCTTTTTAAAATTACGTTGTGAGACATCATGCATCATCTGCACCGAAAACCTTCACAAAAGACACATGGCTGTGTGCTGATGTGGCAAATGAGCGCAGAAGTGGTGGCTGTCTCCATTTTATATCCTTGCCAGCACTGAAAAGGAGTTTTCATGGGATAAGGGAGCGCGCTTGTTTTCATGGCTAAGCCGGCCCATGCTTGACTAAAATGCTATCATTTAAATGGAAACAGATTGCCTCATTCAATCAGTAAGGAAAGTGAAGCAGGTTTCTAATTGGGCTTCATAGAATTTTTAATGCGCTCATTTGTTCAAAATAGAAAATTGTTTCATAGCTTGGTTGTTGTTTGACGAGGAAAGCTCAGCAACAGCTGTTTCGGAACACGTTGACGTGGTTTCAGGCTCATCTGCAATGATGGCTGTTGGAATAAATCTTGCAAATCAAGTTTAAAGGTCTCAATCACTGAGAAACGCAAAATATGTGTTATTTTTGAAACATTTTGAATTGGTCACTGAGTGCAAATGAATGCTGAATGTGAAAATAGATGGGAAAACCAGCGAGTCAAAAAGGAATAGGATGATTAGTATACATGGCCTTAACTTGTGACAGCAGAAGGCTGTGTCTGTTTTGGGGCCAGGAGAGAGCAGAATGCCTCTTGGCTATTTAAACTGTTAGCATTAGCAATTCCACAGTAAAGCGTAAACCGTTCAGGCTTGAAATATTTGTGGAGATAACACATCAATTTTGCTATTTTTTTGCCCTGAGTTACAGTATTCAGAATTTTGACAACAAGAAGCAGCAGAAGAGTTGGATGAACACATCTAATTAGCATCAGATGTACCCAAGAAACCAGCAGTATTTCCATCTCAGCACAACGCAACCCTTTAGGGAGAGAAAACGCAGTGCCTTTGTTCTTTATCCATCAAGACCTACACCTCAGGGTTTTTCTCATTCTCTCTGTCGATACGTGTCTGCTATGTCCATATTTAAATTTTCTAGATTAATCAGACAAGAAAAAAATGCACTAACCTGCTGAACTTCCCACATTTAGCACTGTTTGCTTTTTTCATCTGACACTGAGAATAGGGCAGCAAAGGAGCAATACATGTTCAACTGAAACGGTTCTCAGCACAATGTTAGAGAACTTTACAGCGTATGTATCCATGGGAAGTCAGTTTGGAAATGTAATTGTGAGTGTTCCACCTAAAATGCAAGAGTAGAGAAAATAGTTTCTTTTATTAAAGTAATGCAACCAACTACATTTAATTACTTTTCTGTTTGCCCCAATTTTAATTATTGTGAGTATTTTAAGATTTCCAACTTTTACCCAACAGTAACTTTAATCTAACTCTTTCAAAAAGCTTTCAGACACAAGCAGTAACATCAAAGCATTTATCAGTTTAATGACTATAATAATAAGGGCAGATTTCAGCACCTTGATCTAATGAGATAGTTTTAAGTTGAAATTCAGATCAACACTTTGAAATTCAAGGTTTCCACAGGAGTTGATTAAAAACATCAAACATGATTGAGCAGATGCCCTATTGTGTGTTTCCTAAATAATTAATTAAATCATACATATTTCAATTATAGGAATTAATGAGTTTCCACTTCTGTCTAAAATAAGTATTAGACTATATGTTGTTAGTGAAATACAACCTAGACCCTTAACTACAAGAAGCCCATGAAAGCAACAACATGCATACACATTAGCATGTAGGCTAGCATTTACAGAGAAAATAATTGGTTTTGAGCAAACTGTAATCATTAATTTTTACCAGTATCTATGTGTAGATTTAAAATTTCCTCAGTTATTACTTGATCAGGGGTTTGTTTTGTGATTAAGTTACACTTTTACATATACATTGCTATTTGGCCGTTTATTAACTCTAATTCTAAACAGTTTAATCCCATCTGAGTTTCATTACAAGCAACACCAAGTTTTTTCTGTTTGTTTCAAAGATAAAGATAAACCTCACTGCAACTGTTGATGATCATAGCGCTTTGTCCCTTCTTAAGAGTTTCTTTTTTTTTTTCGCGGTTTCCATGAGTAACATGATGAAGTCGACCACGGTGAATAAGTTATTAATCACACTTTTGACATTTGTGGTAATGGTGATGAAAACAGTAATGGTGATGAACAGCGTGGTGAGAAGGATGGTGTTAATGATGACAACTGTCAACAAAGACTACTGTGACAATGAAGACTGTTGGAGTTGTGACCAGTTCTAAGGTTTATTCTAACTCTTGGAATCATTTTATTTTTTCTCTCCAAAAGTAAAAAAGTCATCTCACATTGCAGGAGCCACACAAGGTTAAGCACAGGTGTTTGGGCAGCCGGCTGCTCCCAAGTGAAAGGTTAGGGAGCACTAGACAGCATTCGAGGTGGCAGAGACAGAATGCCGTCGTCCTCTGAGAGCTCTGTTGGTGTACTCTGCCTTGTCCAAAACTCTTGTCTAAACATAGCTGGCCCGAGTAATGCAAACACCTGCATTCCCTTTGGGAGGGCAGAAGGGCCGATGCAAGCGTGACTCAACAAGAGCTGACTCACTCCACGCTGCCAAGTCCTCGGCAGGGATTTCATTCAGACAAAAGCTGTGAATCCTGTCTGCCCAACAGCATCTCTGGAGCTCTGTGTGGCTACCTCAGAATGTATAGATGCATGCATTGGGGTTGTTTACTCAAACACGTGAAAGAATCGGAGAGTTTTGTATTTGCTGACTGTGATTTAAAAAATGAAAGTATGGAAAATAAAGTAGGCATTGAATTTATGACACAGCAAATCGCTTTTTCACATCACATCCTGTTGTGCCTTACATGCATAATGAAGGTAATCATTCATCTCAAGGTGATATATAATAATCATAGCCTAGACATCTATAGACAAACAGCAGTAGCAAAAGATTTTGCTTTGCAGGTTGGTTTCAGTAAATCTACCATTGGCCCAAATAATTTCAGGTCCAGCCTATCACAGTCCCCATTCACTGGCAATCTTCCAGCCAGAAAACCCCCACCTAAGACTCCATTACCCAGCATCACACTCACCGAAACTCAGCAGCAGCCAGATCTCTATGTGCAGCCCCGCCCCGTGTCGAGTCTACACATTTCATTCTGGAATTTCTGCAGCAGAAACCGTATGAAAGAGGGAAGGCTATCTGGTAGAATGTTTTGAGCTGACTGGAGAACGTGCAAGGTAGTGCCCGGCTGGCACTGGCTACCATATTTTGTCTTTAGCCAATCACAGTACCTCAAATGATGCATACCACGCGTGCCTGGAAAACATCAACTTGCTCAAGCTTCATTCAGTGTGCTACCAACACTAATTATAGTGGGGACAGTGTGCTGCTGACCTCTACTCAGAACGTTGTGGATCGGCAGGCTTTGGATTGGGCTCTCAAATCTCTGGTGCTGAGGTCACTGAGGTGGTTAAAAAGCTCCTCTGTGGCAAGGTTCCAGGGATGGATGAGATCCGCCTGGAGTTCCTTATGGCTCTGGATGTTGTGAGGCTGTGTTGGCTGACGCGGCTCTGCATTATCGCGTGGACATCGGTGGCAGTCCTACTGGACTGGCAGACCGGGGCGGTGGTTCCCTTAATTAAAAAGGGGGACCATAGGGTGTGATCCATTTATAGGGGGATCACACTCCTGAGCCTTCCTGGTAAGGTCTGTTCAGGGGTTCTGGAGAGGAGGGTCTGTTGGATTGTTGAACCTCAGATTCAGGAAGAGCAATGTGGTTTTCGTCCTGGCTGTGGAACACTGGCTCTATACCCTTAAGGGGATCCTGGAGGGTGTGGGAATTTGCCCAACCAGTCTACATGTGTTTTGTGGATTTGGAGAAGGCGTTTGACCGCATCCCTCAGGGGGTGGGGGTGGGGGGTGGGGGGGTGGGGGGGTACTCCAGGAGTATGGGGTACCAGGCCCTCTGATACAGGCTGTTAGGTCCCTGTATGACCGGTGCCAGAGCTTGGTCCGCACTGATGGCAGTAAGTCGGGCTCATTCCCAGTGAGAGTTGGACTCCGCCAAGGCTGCCCTTTGTCACCGATTCTGTTCATAGGCTACTGCCCCCGCGACCTGCCTCCGGATAAGCAGATGGAAATGGATGGATGGATGGATGGATGGATGGATGATGGATGGATGGATGGATAGATGGATGGATGGATGGATGGGTCTGAGGTGTAAATGAACAGAGGAGGAAGCCACAACTTTGTCTAGCATTCATCTTCAAGCAAAACTGCTTGTCTGATATGGGGGAGTTTTTATTTCCCAAATAACAAATTTAAAAGCAAAAGTAAAAACGGTGTTGAGGCCATTGTTCACTGAATGCCATTTTGCATGAATTGAGTTTATGTCATATTAGTTTCAAGTTGAATTACAGAAATAAACATTTGTCTCCTATTCTCATTTTCAATTTTCACTTGTAGTGGATCTAGAAGAAGACCTAATCTGAGAGCTATCTGTGAAACTCAGCAGTTTTAATTATGATGACGTGAAAAATCACAACATGAAAAATGTGTTTTAATAAAACCAGTTGCTACTGTTCATTTAAGCTTGTGTGGTAAATTCAGCAGAAATATGACATCTCTGCAGGAAGTACAGCACTGCTGGCTGCTGCTGCTTCTGCTGCAAATATCTGCAAAATTCTGTTAAACTGTGTGAGGTGAAGGTTTACACAGTGTTCATATGAACCCATTTTTAAATGAAGTAAAAAAAACAACAACAACAACTAGAAAAGGCACCTTCTTTCATTAAAGTTAGCCCAAAGGAAGTTTAGACGACACCTGGAGGGTTCTGGGTTGCGTGGAAAAGCTCTCCAGGCTGCTGCTTGTTTGTACTCTAATATCTGACATGAGCACAAAAGTGAAAATACACTGAGAATATTAAGCTGCTGCATGAACATATTTTGAAAATCCACCTTTTCAAAATGCTAACAAGGCTAATTGGTCTCTTATTTTGGGTTTGGTAAACTCGGTTTACGCCCCTAACACTGCGCGTCTTGTCTTTATTTGTAACTGCAGAAACATAACATAGCATTTGCCATATTTGTAACTCCACTCTCAACATGGAGCTAATTATGTTGCAGGGGTTATACCGACACAAACAGATGGCGACGTACAATGTGGAATGAAGTGGCTCAAAAATAATTGGACACCGTACTCATATTGTTGTTGACTGTGAAACATTCAGGAGTAACCGATCTTCTGAAGGCAAACACATAAATCATTCATTTTTATTTTGTCACATGATGCACAGAAAGGGGCACCATGCCAAGAATCCTCAAAGAATTAGAAGTCATTTGGGCCAAAACTCCACAGTCAGGAAGTGAAAGACTTTTAGCTGCTGCTAAAGGCGTTCACACGCTGCCAAGATGTCATACTTGCAATTAGGGGAGTTAAGGAATTCTCCAAGCATGGTGCCCGAGTAACAGATCACTGTTTTCAGGATTTCTTTTTTAACCTTACCAAAAACAACAATGAAAGTTTAAACATAATCCACCTTGGGCTGTTTTAGAAATGTTTACTTTGTCTTTAGTCGCCATGTGTTGCACCATGATGCTAGAATGCGAGTTCTGAAAAACACTGTGCCACCTCCCGCTCTTTTATTTGCATTTGCTCCCATTGTAGTGACAGAATTCCATATATTTCAGATATTCATGTCCGTTTTCATTCTTGTGAAGAACCACAGACATAGGCACGAGGAGGGCAGAATGAGACATACGCCTTTTGACTAGTGTCCCGATTATCTTGGGTGTACGTCTCAAGTGACCATTGAATTGGCATAGTGTTGCGGGGCACATAGGGAAAGGATGGCTCACTTGGGAGTGGAAAAGAGGCCATCTGTCTAAGAACTACTCTGTCCTTGTGCTGTATCTGATCTGAGAAGACAGAGTGTATTAGCACTGAATAATGGCCTCACACTGCTTGACAAGCTTCCGTGCACTCCACCGTGATGCTGCTCTCTGGAGGACGACCGTGTGTGGGCCTAGCCGAGGCCCCTCAGGCTAGCATTATGAGGCTTTAAAATTTCTCATCTGCTCTGTCCTGAATCCCAGCAATCCACGGGACTCATGATGTGCTCGTATAAACTTTAGATTAATCTAAATAGAAGAGTATAAAGCACCGGTCTGGGGTGCAGCCTTAAAGAACCCAAAGGTTATTAGTCTGACACTAAAAATTGAATGTTACAGCAGCTAAGAGATTGTCACAGAGGGACAAAAATGAAAAGAATAAATTGAAGAGCAAGAAATTGTTGGTTTCAATTCATTTTAGCTTCAGCCTTCAATCATTTTTTTTTATATTCTGTAGCTTGTCAGACTCAAATAATATGTCATCTGAGCTGCCACTGAGCCTGAGCTCTTGATAACCCACGGAGAGGTCGGATTCGAACATTGATTCAGTCTCATAACAATAGAGGTGAAATCCCTGAGCAGGTGAAAATAAGACATTCTGTCTCTGCTGCACACCGACACAATCAAATACAAAGCTTGTTTTCCCACAATACCACTGCCCTTCTTCCCCCTGTCTCTCCTACTTTTTTCCAAAGTGCACGATCCATCAAAAAAAAAAAAAAGGCAGCATCTCTGTTTTGCCACCTTTGAGTTTGTTGTACGTCCATTTCATTTCCCCGCACCATTACAAGATTCAGAGGCGGCCCTTTGCTATTGATTTGGCTCAGTTTATTTTTTTCCCTGAGCTTAAAAACCTCCCACACAGAGAGGCATCTCTTGACAAATCACTTTAGTACTCTACTCATGGAGGGCGATGCAAAACTGGTGTCGGTCAACTAACATCGGAACAAAATGATTTACCAAGCATGTGTAGGAATGTCAGTTATTTGTTTATTTTTCCTTCTTTTATATAATAAACCCAATTGCACGTACTATTGTGTGTAAAATGCATTCAGTAGACTTTCATTTTCAAGAGGTTACAACATACGTTGGCCTTGAAAACATACTTACATTACAATAAATAAAATAAAAAAAACTTTAAATGAGTCAAACATTTTAATTAAAGACTATTTTTGTTGTCTTTTTTTTTGCCAAAGTTCAAATGGCATTGTACATTTTAACAATAAAACAAAACAAACGATGTGTCTATGTCATTCCAACTCTTAACTATTTGAGACACTTGTCCTCAACCTTCACAACCCAACTGAAAATCTGTTCCCCAAAACAAGGGAAGACTGAATTACCAATCAAGTGGAATTCAGGGCAACGGCTGAGCTACAAATGCCACACATACCTTATGATCAACGCTTTAAACTGCAGTTTGTATAACTTATTTTTTTAAAGGGTAATTTCTAAAATCATGATTATAAGCGTTGATTGGCTCTAGATTTCAACATGCTACGGGGTCCTGCCTGTCCTTTGGAATAGGTGAGGGTAGGCATAACTCATCTAAGGATGGTGCAGATGTCTTTTAATGCTTGCAGATTTAAATTCTCCAGGCAAGGCATACAAAGTGAGATTGTTGCCATGTTGAAAAAGGATTGAGATTTGGTCTAAACTTGAAAATGTTCGCACAATGCTTGCAAACCTCATGTGATCTGTTAGCAGTTGCTGCTGTTCTAGATCATAATAATGGATTGACCAATAGATCAGGTGTTTATAATAACAATATGTGCAATTGAGTGTCTCTTTTATAAAGTGTTTTTATAAGTTAGACTTAACACTTGAATACAAAATGTATTCTGTCTTTCTTGCTTGCTACAGTAAAAACATCATGTGAGTGCTGAGGCACTTTCCCTAAAATGGAATGTTATTCTGCTTTCAAAATTCAACCTTTGAAATAAATGAGTTGTTAAAAAAGCAGAAGCTTAAATTCAACCTTCACTGCACCATAAAACTGGCAGATCCCCGAGGGCAGGTGCTGTCTCACTGCAAAATCTCAGAAAAAATAAATCTGACATCTTCATCAGACGTCATGCAAATTAAAACCTCAGCCTTGCTCCGACACCCAGATGTATACTTAAAGTTCAAGGGAGATGATGTGACCATAAAGCAAACAGTTTTGCAGCAAAGCCTCCGTAATACTTCACTGCAGCCCGCTGGAACATGACAAGGTTTCCCAATTGATTTTTCTGTGATATATTTCCATTACGTTTTTCATCTGTGTTTCATTGTTTTTCATTCTCTCATTTCAAGAATTGTGTCACGGTCTCATAAGAAAGTGTCTGACAGTAACTAATGCTATCAATGGAGTTAAATTCGACTATAAAAAATATTATATTTCATAACAGAAGCAACATCGATCGAAAAATACCTCGTTAACTGCATCCCTCCTCATCCTCCAACACATTAAACTAACATTCATGGTTTGCGAAGGACTTATATGTGACACAGGCTTTTGCTTCATGGTCTCACCTGTAGAGTGTAACTGGAGGGTTGGCCTTCGCAGAGCAGTGGAACTTCACAAGATTGCCCTCCAAAACAGGCTGAGGCTCCACAGAGAGATTGACAAGTGGGAGATCTATAAAAACCCAGAGAAACAAAGACAACCAATTACACAACTGGCATCCTCCTGAAACATGGTGTAGTGAACTATACGCCCTACACGTACTGTGTTTGTGATGTTCTTCATGGCAAAATAAAGAAAACATAAAAACTTTTTTCAGAAAAGACAAAAAGACACATTTTTTTCTGTGTGAGAAACAACCATTGAAAATTTTAAAGTGATAATGTGTAGTTTATACCATTACTCTCTGGGCGTATCCATCAGTTTGTTGTTGTAAATTAATTAAAAGATGCCCAGATGTTGAAAAATATTGGCCGTTTCATAACATTCAACCCTCTGGGCGACGCCATATTGGATGCCATATTTCCTCCTACAGAAGGCCGTGAGGACAAAACACATTTACTGATTTGTAACAAATGGTTACAAAACTTTGTCCATTAATAAACTTTGTTGTTTTACACATTTTACCTCTTCACTCATTGCTAGTGATGAAAGAAAATCTGATTTTCTTGTTATTTTGCTGAAGGTGGTGCTCCCTGGGATTTTTGACCCTAATGGCCCTCCATTGGTCAGGTCTTACTCAAACACAAAAGTAATGCTTGCTTGCAATCATTTAGGTATGCACTGCCCCTATCGTTTGGGAAAATACACACTGTCACTTTAAGGAGCCCTACATTTTTGAAGAGCTGTCTGTTAATACAGGAGTTTATTTATTTTAAAGTGGACTTCTGTGGAAATGTTACGAGAGTAACGTATTAGTTATTACCAGACTGATGTGCTAACCACTAGTCAAGTGGAAACTCAAGTGTTGCTCTGAAATGTTTTAATTTGTCATCAGGTCATATAAAATGTGTCAACTCTCAACACCAATTTCATATATCTATAGTATTTGCTAGCACAGAAAGCTGTTATACTTCCAATGCAGACAGGGGAACTTCTAGCTAATGTATTAGATTTTTTTGTTAAGTAATGTTAAACTGACGGTTTACAAAGGTTTACAAACCAATGTCTGTCTGAACTAGTCTTGGAATTTGAGTATTTTAAAGGTTTTTATTAGAATATCTTGGTTTAACTAACCGTTAGCTTGACAGTCCAGTCAAAACAAATCCTGTCCTCAAACTGAACCTGATCAAAGAGCTCTCAGCAACAAAATATGAAAGTGAATTGTTCAAAACTGAAACTCACTTCAAAAGAAGTGAACTACAACTTGACCTGTTTTTGTTTTTTAGGGGAATGAAAAAATGATGATCCTATTGTGTGAACTCATTTCTGTTTGTGGCAGGATTATTTCTGAACAATTACATGCCTTATTTTAAATGGACCCTGCTGCCCATAATATGTCATGGCCCAGGTTGTTGAACAACACCGTGGCCTTTTTCTTTCACACGATGAAGATACATTGTGTTATTTTTACACCCTTACATTCCTCAGCGTAGCTCCGAGGAGCGAATCAAAGGAAAATCTCATCTGATAATGAGCTCCACTAAACAATAATAATTTACACGCACAGAACAGTCCACAGTGCATTTCACAGCAATTTCACCAGCAAACACCCTGAACTACGCAGCACAATTACAATGGTTCTTACAAATACAAATGTTCAGATTATGCAAATTCAATAAACAACTCAATTTATCCTAATTGACAAAGGTGGGCCTCTTTTGGAAGATAGGGGTTCATTTCCATATCAATCCTTTCCCAAATGAAACAAACAAAGCTATTTACCTTACATACTCGGAGGATGAATTTCAAATGGGGAGAAGATATTTGTCAGGTGTTCGAAGAGCAACGTAGGTGGATTTTGTTCAAAGCTTCAGAAACAGTAAGGGAGTTTGTAATTAGAGTGGTCGCTTAAAGTGGTTTAAACGCTTTCTGGTAACATCAAATTTAGCGGAAAGAGTCCTCACTTTGTTGTTAATTTAACATCAAAGTTAATAGTGTATTTTTCCCTTTTAAATCAGTCTTTTTTTCTTTTTGAAGCAAACTGGTGAAATATCACAGAGAGCGAACTAGCCATGAGGGGAAAACTGGCTCTGAGTCTGAAGCTAGCCATCTGCTTTAGAAATGCATCTGCTCTGTGTTCGGTGTACTACGAGTGTGATGTTCTAACCAGGATCTGTGTTTGGATGTGGATGAAGGGCGCAGCGGTGAGCACAGAGATCCACTGAGAGGAGAGAAAGCAGCACACGAGCGCTGCAGCCAAACAAGTCGGTGCAGAGTTATGGAGAGTGAATCCGTAGGCATGTGTGCGCGTACGCGCAAAGTGTAGGAAAACAGCTTATTACCCTGTAGCTGTGCAGATGCTCCAGGCTGGCTCAGCTGCCACATAAACCCCAGAGAGGAGGTGGTCCAGGTGCTACATTCCTCCCCTACTCACGCGCTACATCCCCATCAGTCTACATATTCCACTCCAGGACAACTGCCCTCCCACCCCACCTTCAACAACCACCCCACTACCTTGAAATCCACCTGTGCTAGGTCTCCTCGGGCCAGTAAAGAAAATAACAACATTGGCGTGGGGGGGATCCTGAAAAAGCTGGGGGACAAGTCAACCAGCAAGTGTCCCTGGGTACTGGGCATCCAACTGGGGTATTTGCATATGCCGAAACATGTTTGTGCAAAAATGAAAGGAAACAAGGGCGTGCATCGTAATAAAACAGGAAACTCATCTGTGCCTTGAGCAACAGTATTATCCACTCGGTAGGTGGTTGTAGGACTGGGGAGCAGTTAAATAAGTGGGGAAAAAAATGTAGGCAGAAGCAACCTGAGGGGCAAAATAACATGTCTAGTTGTGCTGGAGGTGGCAATGAAAACTCTGAAGGAACCTGCAAGCATGCAGACAGATATCAAAAGACAGGAGGGAGATGTGAGGGTTGTGTGTGTCACGCAGAAGCCATTTTCACTAAAACTCGACCTATAAGGGGCTGTTTAATCATGCGAACCTTCCTGCTGCCAAGAGACTTCTAAAGACACAAACACTCATTACTGTCAATCTGACCACAAAATCAATGATCTTTTGAAAGTACTGAACTGGCCCTCCCTTAGAAAAGCCCCGGTCCCTCTCAGCTAGCGGTAATGTTGTGATGAATTTAATTTGTTGATATTTCCGTCTCCTGAAGACGTGTTAAAAGACAGCTATGGGAGAAACAGCTGTCAGAAGTCCGTCTGAAAAGGCCCTGGGCGTAAAATCACAGGGTATAACCACTTCTGACCTTTGACCTCCCTGATATGATAGACATCCAGCTAATGAAGGATATACTTTGATGTATTAATGCATGAGATGTTTGGTGAGTGCATCAGAGGTAGGGATGAGCCGGATACTCGTTTCAGATGAGTATCCGGTACGGATAAAGCATTTGTGACGAATACAAGCTTGAGACGAGTAAACCTCGGACATATCTGTAATCGTGCTGAAGGAAAATCCTCATTGGGTAACTGACTGTCTTCACGCTCTGTGATTGGCCAGTCACATAGAGCGCCCGCCCCTCCCTACACACAAAACTCTCTAGCCGGCCGGTGTCGGTACAGGATCTGCTCGGGTACAAGATCGGCTCGGGGTCCGTCGACTGCCGATGACGTCTAAGTAGTTGATTGGCTGAACATGAACCTTACGGAATTACGTAATCACGTTACGTTATTATCACGTTACGTTGTTATCATGTTACGTTGGTCCAGGCAAATCTTTCTATTGGAAAGATGGACAACTTTTACAAAGAAATCCATCATTACCTCTTTGAAAATACACTTGTAGCATAGAGCTGCATGTATATTAGGGCTGAACGATTAACTGCATGTGCAATTAAATTGCGATGTGACAAAAGGAGATTTTCTAATCTCAAAGGCTTCAATTTGGCAGCGAGTGGTTAGCGCAATGCTAATATACATGGAAAAACCCATAGGAATGCTAATGCTAATATCGCAGATTACATTATTACTAATTATGATTTAGAAACGTGCCAAATGATTACATTTGGAGTCTTATAGAAAGTAAAAATACCATCAATCAAATAAGTACAGACAGGTATTTTAGTAAAGCCAGGAGATTTTCTAATCTCAAAGGCTGCAATTTGGCAGCGAGTGGTTAGCGCAATGCTAATATACATGGAAAAACCCATAGGAATGCTAATGCTAATATCGCCGATTACATTATTGCAAATAATGAATTACAAACGTGCCAAATGATTACATTTGGAGTCTAATAGAAAGTAAAAATACCATCAATCAAATAAGTACAGACAGGTATTTTAGTAAAGCCAGGAGATTTTCTAATCTCAAAGGCTGCAATTTGGCAGCGAGTGGTTAGCGCAATGCTAATATACATGGAAAAACCCATAGGAATGCTATTGCTAATATCGCCGATTACATTATTGCAAATAATGAATTACAAACGTGCCAAATGATTACATTTGGAGTCTAATAGAAAGTAAAAATACCATCAATCAAATAAATACAGACAGGTTTTTTAGTAAAGCCAGAAAACTTTTAACTCCAGTTTTTTGGCTAGCAGCTACAGTCTATGACAAGACGTCAAAAACTCTAAACACAAAATACTTAAATAAACGGGACACACTTCTTTCCTGCAAATACAATTTCACAGGTGTTGCTAATACCTATGATTCTTCAAGGGATGTGCTCAAAGAGGAGTTCAACATTATGAATAAGATATAGTGTTTTATTTTACTAATACCATTATAAACACAAATTAAGAAACGTTATTTTAATAACGAAAGTGCTAAATTCTTTCCAACAGTATAGAGGTGTAGTGTATTTTGTCCAAGTCGGTTTGCCGTACTTTGACGTCATCGGCAGTCGAAGGACCCCGAGCCGATCTTGCACCCGAGCAGATCCTGTACCGACACCGGGAGCACAGTCCGACCGGCTCATCCACACACACACACAGACAGTAACGGATCTCGCTGTGATTGCTTCACTGTTGCTCACGTTTCTTCAGTTTTCCCTAGGTTTTCTTCAGCTCGCCTCTTTTTAGGCTGAATATTTAAAGTTACCTTTTTCGT